TATAAATATATACTTCTATTAATTACCCGCAATATCTAGGGTTATATATCCTACTTCTATTATCGTCTCGCCCGTCGGTCTATTTATACTAGAGAGTATATATAGTATAATTAGAATATACTTAATATACTACTTCCTAGTAAAGGCTAATATTATTACTCTATAGGCTCTATAGCTAGTATCTATTATAGTTCTAGCTATAGTAGTTTAATTTACTATAGTATCTATAACGATATATAGATTTTCTATTTTTCCTTTCTAGAACCTTTACTATTCTTATAGTATATCTTCTTGGGGCTCCTATATACGCTTTAATATAGGAGCTAGTCTTTTCTTTAGCTCGAGTAGTTAGCGTCCTCCTCCTCTTCTAGGTCTAGTAGTAGTCCCGACGCCGCCGAGGTTATATCTATAACCTATATTATTAGGCGTAGCGGTAGGTAAGAGTAAGCTATAATAAAGTAGCCTACGCCTCTATAGCGTAGATACCTACGGCTCTACCTATACTTTTCCCTCTCTTTAGGTAACGCCTACTTAGTACGGCGAGCTAGCTTCTAGGTAGTACTATTAATATCTATAGGGTCCCCTCGAGGGACCGCTAGAGCGAGAGTACGAGGCTACTAGTTCTAAGAGCTTTATACTCTATAATCTTAGAGCCCAATACGCTAGGCCTAGGCTACTCGCTATACCTCTCTAGACCTATTATCTATTCGCCTAAGGAGAGAGTAGTAGTCCTCGTAGAACTCGGGGGTATCTACTCTAATTATATACTCTAGGAGCTTAGAGTCTAGGGCTATCTATAGTACTTCTATCTTTACTATATTGTCCCAAGTATAGCCTTCTACTTCTATAATAACTTAATTAAATTCTATAAGAAACTTAGCTAGTACTCGCTTCTCTTGGTATATAGTATATACCCGCCGCCTAGCCTTCTCCTACTAAGCTAGGTCGACGAAAAGATAGTCTAGATAAGTATAGAAATATATTAGTATAAACTAGCTTAGGTTATACTAGTTATACTCTACCTAGAGAAGGACTCTCCTTACTACTACTCCTTCTAGTTAGGAGAAAATATACTATACTCGCTAGCTAGGGCCCCTAATTAACTCCCTATCTACTATAAGTTTAGCGTTAACTTCTATCCTCTATAATAGATAGTCTAATAGTCTTTCCCCGCTAAACTTCTCTGTATTTAGTAAGGCGGGTTTTGGCCGATTAGGGTGTGGTAGTATCTATATCGAGGGGGCCGATAAGGCTTAGGGGGTAAGATATACTACTAGGGGTATCCCCTACTTCTATACCCTCTCTCTTAGCGTAGCTAGCTGCGCTATTAAGGTTCTAATCTACTCCGTCTACCTCTCTATAAGGGTACTCTACTACTCTAGAAAAGCTCCTAACTAACTCAGTGGCTAGTTACTATTCTACTATCTATTTCTATTATTCTCCTAGCCCTAGCGTTAGCCTTTTGCTATATCTATTATATTCTAATCTTCTATTCTAATATTCCTATACTAATGTTTCTAATATCTTCTATATACTCGATATACCTAATATATCTAATATAACTAATATATCTAATATAACTAATATATCCAATATAACCAATATATCTAATATAACCAATATATCTAATATAACTAATATAACCAATAAGACTAATATAATAATATATTTTATAATATTAACGGCCGAAGAGAGTTCTATTTAACTAACTAAGGGTATCTATAAGTCGAAGATAAAATATATAGAGAAGAAGAAGAAAGAGGAAAAGGAAGGAAGTCGGTAATAGGGGATAGAGCTATAGCTCTAGGCGTTAAGGTTATATAATCGTGTTAAGGGTCACATACGCGAGAGTAAAAGGGGGAGTCTAGTAATAGTATCTCTAGATAGGCCTTACTGCCTCGTTGATTACGGAGCGCGCGGTGACCCGAGAAGGGAATAGAGGTCCAACCCCTTACACCTTTTTACCTCTAGTAACTTTAGGATTTCGAATATAAGCCTTATATCTAATAACTTATAGATATACTAGTAACGTTAACTTTAGAATATAAGCCTTATCCGTTCCCTTTTTCTTAAGGTATTTAATTAGGCTTAAAAGAGGTGATTTCTAACCTAAGGACTACGTTAGTAGCCTATTTATAATATAGGCTATAGTTTTAATAACCTCTAACTATATTTCCTTAGGGAATTTTACTTCTATTCGTAGCGTTCTAGTTAGTAAAGTTAATATCCTACTAGAGCGTTCTATAGGCCTATTTTACTTAGGTATATACTCTACTAAGTATTTAATTATTATTCCTTCGTCTCTTACCTAGTCCCTAAATTCGGTAGTTAGAGAACGTTCGATATTAATTTAGATAATAAGAACTTAATATCTAAATTAGCGCTTAATATAGGCAACCTTACCCTTAATAGAGCGTAAGATTATTCCTTTTAATATTATATAGTCTACTTTATACTATTTAGTTATTTCGTAGAAGTAGTAAGCTGCCTATTAGTCCTAGTTATATCTAGCGGGTTTAATATATATTAGGTTAATATATAGACGTTAGAACGGAGCTATTACTCTTAATTTAAGAATATAGCGTAAGATCTACCTTTTTAACTTTAATACTCCGTAGGATTAATAGATTAGTACGAGTTCGCCCTTTTCTAGAGCTTTTAGCTATATAATCTCGATATCGTCTAATAGTTTTTTAATATACTTTAGAACTTTATTATTTAAGTATTCTAACTATTAGTACTATATTACTTTGTTTATAATATTCGATTTCGGAGCTCGCGATAATAATAAAAATACTAATATTTCTAGAGCTCGGGCTAAATATTCGGAATTATTAAATTTAACTACCTTTATTCTATATATTTTATTCGTTACCGTAACCTCCTTTCTAGACTTTTTATACCTTATTCGACCTATTTTAGTATTAAAAGTATATCTAGCCTTATCTAGAGGTTCGTCTATAAGTAGATTTATATAGAATCTAGGAATATATAGAGCCTATTTAAGAATAACCTTAAATTTTATTCCTTTAGAACTTATTATCTAGATTCGAGTATTACCTCGTTCTATTACGCTCGTTATATTATTACTAGTAAGGACTTTATTATTAAATAACTCTATAGTAAGAAATCTATTCCTATCGTTAACTATATAGTTAGTAGCTATAGTATCGTATACTATACTATTTCTTAGATAGTAGCTTAATATTTAGCTATATACTAATACTACGTTAGATTCTACTATAAATAGTACTATAAAATAGAAGTCCTCGTCGTTCTATTCCTAGTTAATTACTATAAGGTTGGCCGCGCCCTATTCTTTTTCCTTCTTCTTATTAAACTCCTTGCTTCGTTATCTTAACCTCTTAACCCCTTTTTTAACTCTTAGATTCTTTAAGGCTTCTTCTACCTTCTTCTTCTTCTTAGGGTTCGGTATCTAGTCCTTTAGTCTAATATATTCTTCTAGATAATAGTACTCGTTATATTAGTATATTCCTCTATAAATATAGATTAGAGCTAGTCTTCTAAACTAGAATTAAGTTCGTCCCTAGAAGGTAGATTTCGAGATTATTTAGGATATTAATTAGGATATTATAGGTATTAAGAATACTATTTAGAATTTAGTCTTTATTACCGTAATATTCTTCCTATAGTAATATTAGAAGTCTTAAATAAGGTCTATAAAGTTAACTAAGTTAGCTTAATAGTACTAGGTAACTATATAGGTATAGTTAATCTTTTTATTCGCTAAAATAAGGTTATCCTTTACTCGTTCTAGACGTAGTATCTTAAGCTTTTAAGCTTTCTAGAATACCTCTATCTAGTTATCGAGCTAGATAAAGACGTCTCTAACTCTTAATCTAGCTTTTAATACTTTATATTTTTATTCTACTTTATATATTCTATCCTTATCCGTTAGATAGAGGCGTTTCTTTAATCCTTTTATTATTTTATATAACGAATCCTCTACTCGGAGTTAATTAAATACTAAATAGGTAACTATTATTATTAGATAGATTTGGAATATTAATAGGGTATTTCTTTTTATTTAATACTTTAATTACTATTCTTTATAGTCCTTTTTTAGGATCTTTAGTATTTCGAGCTAGTCCTTATTAAGGTCTAAAATACTAGTTACTTAAGGATTTATATTCTTATATTCGACCTTTTTAGGTAGAGTAGTATACTCTAGTTCTACTTTAAGATCTAGATTTACTAGGTTCTAGATATTTAATTAATAGGCTAGAGCTTTAATACCCCCGTATTAAAGGTATTAGTTCTATTCGTTTTTAAGTATAGTAATCCTCGCCGTAATAGTTTTAGTATATTAATTTACTATTATTAATTAATATTAGACGAATAACGTTTAATATTAATAATACTACTTCTTATTAATAGTTAGTGTATCGGAATATTTAAATCGGACGTTATTTTAATTTAATTTATAATAGCCGGGCTTATAACTATTAAATATAAGTAAAAGTAGTGAATAATAATTAGCTAAATAAGTTTAAACGTATATATAGGTATAAATATACGTATATTAGTAAGCTTAAAGAGCTTAGGTGCAGGGTATAAGTCTCTGCTGGATATAACAGAGGCAGTGCACGTGATCTAACTACGTTGCTGACTAAGTACAACATTTGACATTTTTCCACTCTCCGCAACTTCTATTTGAAATGGCCAAGGATAATTAGAATACTAATTCCGGTGACATGAAATGGATAGCACAGGGGGTCCTATGGAACGACTATAGATTTCATCCGACTATAATACCTATATCCTAATGATAAAAGGAGCCTTATCAAACGACATGTCATCAATTGAATCTGTGTTGTAGGAGAAAATAGGAGGATGAAGGACTGTTTTGAGGTTGTACAGGATAGGGGCTACATGGCTCAGAAATGGAAAGCTATTCGGTGCATATTAATCGTATTCTCCGATGGGATACCCTGGATAAAGAAATAATGCCTATATACTTCTGAAACTTGACGTCTATATTAAGCAAGTCCCAGCTGACGGCGTCGTATATGTGCTGTGAAATCAGTATCAAGCCATGACCAAGTGTTCTCCATAAGAACTATTGCCGGGAATTCTTGATCCTCGGAGACATATTTCACGTCATAGTTTAAGAGAATCTTTGCGAGCATCAGCTCGCACACTTTCACCCCAACAAATCGTCCAGGGCAGAGGCCAGTTCCATAGCTAAACGCAAGGAAAGTTTCAGAGGCCGTTGAAGCTCGTGGAGTACAGGTCTTAGTAGCAGGGTCATAAAACCTATATGGATTGAAGGCCATTGGGTCTGGATAGTTCGCAGGGTCGGTATGAATGCATCTCGTAGGTATTCCAATACATGTTCCCTTTGCAAGATCCATATTCATAGATTCGAGTTTGAGGGGCTTAGCTAGCCTTCGAGACACACTAACTACAAGGCAAGTGGTTAATACTTAAGTAGCAAGGCCCAAGCTAGTTGAGGTATACGTACTTGAAATTGGTGCGTATAAACGCAAACTCTCACGTAGAAAGCTTTCCAGCTTTGGTGTATGTGCCAAGAAGTCCGAATCCCACCCACCATGCGAAGCTAGGGAATCCGATATCTCCTCTCTAAGAGCGTCTGCATATTCCGGGTTTGCCATGCATCGTGTCAACATAGCTCCTAGAACTGGCGTTATCGGGCCCCAAACTTCATAGATATGGAATAAGGTCTTCATAAAGAGACTATCAATATCTTTTTCCTCGGACCTAGAGTTTTCAACATGGGAAATAAGACCTTCTTTTAAAGCCTGCTTTAAAAATATAGTTAACATGGTCGAATCTCCCTCGGCTTTGTCACCATATCTTAAGAGTTTTATACGGCGTTTTATTTCGGGAATAACTTTCTTCTTAATGGTTGAGTAATTTGAGCGAAAGTTACGGTGTGTCGGGGAAAGTCTCCATAGTATGGGCCACAGGAACCGCGGACAACGATCAAACTCGTTCACGACGTCTTCAATACCTAATACATGAGCAGTAATGTGTTCCATAAGATCTGGGTCTCTGGAAAACTGAGTACCAAGGACCAAGGATGTAGCAAAATGCATCATCAAGTTGCTAGCAGTGAGTTGTGGATTAAATTTAGCCCACTCTATCTAAAAGTCAGCTATTCGTTCATAACTTTCTACAAGGGTAGGAAGGAGGATATTACCCTTGTTGTTTGGGTTACCAATCATTGAAGGTAGAAGCTCACTCGTATCCTTTAGTGTAAGAGAGTGGAGATAATCTATATGAATCTGTCAGTAGTTATATAAATAACAACCAAAGTATAAACCAAGGGCACTGACCAAAGTGTCTCTTTTGGTTGTATGCAAGGATAGCGTTGATGTGTGTCTGACAGTCTGCATTGGTATGATATCCTACAGCCGTTGCCTGTTATAGTTGTATCAATGACTTCGTTAACCCCCAGAGTATCCGAAATATAGCATCTCTAGAGAGGCATACATTTTCAACGTAGTTCATAAAACTCAAGTGACTCGCTGGTAGATTACACCACTCTTTCATTGATTTCAGTGGGAGCATAATTATCCAATTCTCGAGATCTGCCTTCGTTGCAAACGCTTTTCCTCTCTTGGTGCACTTTATAATTATATCGATAGTTAGTTGGTTTCTCATCTATCAAATCGTTGGAAGAGATCTAAACCCACCAAGTAGTAAGCACGTCGGAGGGCATCCTCCAACTCAACGCCACTTAGCTTACGCCTAAACCTCGCCTGTAGGAGCGTTTGACCGCACACGCGATGTAATTTTCTCACCGGCCATGTCCGCAGGAGAAGGTCCACATGATCGATGAGAAAGATGAACAATGCTAGAAAGCAGGTGGATAGAGCAATTGTTTGGAGTATAGGGGCATATTCAACGATGCCATGAACACCTGGTTTCCACAGAGATTCCATTGTGTCCTCGTTCGGATACCGCGAACACCTTGATTGAGTAGTGTGGAGGGGAGCTGTAACGATAACCGCAGGACGGCCACAAAACCACAGTGTACACAAGTCCTCGAGGAAGAGGCCAAACAGTGGGATAGAAGTGGTCTCCTTATACTGGTGTAGAACCCCACATGCACTCCGATTCAAGGGTCACCATGAGCCGGCCGAGGCGCATCTGGTCAGCAGAGCGATTATTATGTGCTTGTACATCTTCTTCATTTTTCTGCTTGACTCAATTATCGGTGAATTCATTTTCTTGGAGATATCAAATATTGTGCTGCAAGCTGGCTGATCTGCATTGCATGGCAGTGTAACTGGAGCTCGTATCATGTCCATGATGTGAAGTTATTGACTGCCGCTAATATAAAGCCAGGAGCCGGCTTTAAAATCAGACCAGCGCATTCTTAAGCGATAGGTGCATTATCTTTAAGTCAGAATCTCCATATTTTGGGTATCTTAAATCATGGCCAACAGCCTGTGATGAGTGTGTGACTTGTCCATTTAACATGGTAGATCAAGTTTGCGTGCATGGTTAGTCGATGTGCATATTTACTATTGCTGCATGGCCTGATACTCTATTATCTGGCCACCTTTAGTTAAACTACTATGTAAGTAAGTAGTACATAGTAGTCAAGTAAACTTGACGTGGGAGACGCTGCCCGTATGATATGCCAACAAGTTGTTGGCGGTCTTAAAATCAGGTAACGAGCTATGATAGTTATTGGCTGAATGACCATATCAAATCTTTAACTAACTCGCCGCTAGCTAGGTGTGGGAGACTCTCCCATGTTTGAGTTATACAGCCAGTTTTGTACTGTAAACCCAAAGGCCAAATCCGCCAGACACACAGAGTACATACTATGTAGTAACTGCATATTATGTTCTACCCCTGCGAGTTTGGTATATACATACACACTTGGGCTCAAGAGGCCTACCCTCTTCTTGTAGTCCAAGAGAAAAGGAGTAAATAAGGAGACGAATAAAAGGTTGTGAATATAGGTATTAAATGTGGGCTGGAGGTACACGATCAAGGGCATCGTCATGTAGTTAGTGTCTCTCTGACTCTCTATGGAGTATTATGTATGCCGCGTGTTCCGATACCGCCGATCATGAAAAGGTGGCTATCCGAGTTGGCTGGCAGGAAATCATATATAAGCAAATTGGTAGTCTCCAATGACCCTTCAGCCATCCACAATTATCTCTCCTTAGTTACTCAACAGAAAACGTATCTATTTCTGCTGCCATGGGGCCCTTGGAGTGGTTTGCGTTTGCCGTTGGGATAGTAAGATTTTTCTATCTCAATCTTGTGTTTTAATTTGGCTGTTTTCTGACAATTGTTCATCCAGTGGGTTGTATTTCATGTCGGACTAGCTCTTTATAACATCTTCCTTCACCCTTTGAGAAATTACCCAGGTCCCATTCTTGACGCGGCCACCCAGCTCCCATACTCATATCATATGATCAAAGGTGATAACACAAAATACATTGCAAAGCTTCACGAGCGCTACGGCGATGTTGTCCGCGTCGGCCCCAATGAGCTGTCGTATATCAGTGCATCAGCTAACCGAACCATATTCGGAGGAAAGCCAACTGAAGAAAACATTTATGAAAAGAACCCGGTCATTTGGCTCCTAGGGTCTACTGCTCCAATCACAAATCTCTTCTTTGCACGGTTTCATGAGAATATTCGGTACCGCAAGATCATAGCACCCGCTTTTTCTGAGGCGGCGATCCGTGAACAGGAACCCATTATCCAAAAATATGTCGATGGGCTGATTAAAGGTCTGAAAAATCGATCTGGACAGGCTGAGTTCCCAGACTCCAATGGAGTGGTAAATATTGCGGCTTGGTATAATTTCGTTGTTTTCGACATTCTCACACGCCTCTCATTTGGCGAGGCCCAAGGTTGTCTTGAGAACGGCCAGTATGATCTCTGGCTTGAAGGGCTGTACGATGGACTTGTACAGTCACATTTCGTCCAGGCTGCCCACCGGTTAAGGCCGTACCATAGCATACTGGAACGCTTCATCCCTTCACGGGTAACCAAGGCCCACAACTCTCAAACGATGGATTATTACCCCAGGGAGTTGAAGAAACAGCAAGACAAAAAGGAGAGTTCCATTGCAGGCAAGCCACGTACGGAATTTGCAGCCTTTTTCCTTGATGGTTTGACTCATGAGGAATTAGAGGACAATGTCAACGTCCTCGTCGCTGCCGGAGCTGATAGCACTATTACTACAATGTCATCCTTGACTTACTATCTCACCCATAACCCGGAGTCCTACCGTAAACTCAAGAACGAGATTCAGGGCGCCTTCCGTGCAGAGCACGAAATAACTCTAACGGCCGTCAAGCATTTGGAATATCTCGGAGCTGTCATCCGGGAGACCCTGCGTATACATCCTCCAGTTCCAATGGGCCTTCATCGTGTGGCTCCAAGCAAAGGCGCTGTAATCGATGGGCAATCGGTCCCTGGCGGAGTAAGTGACAACCCCTTTTCACACCTTTCTTATTTTGAACGGTTTTTTGATTATGGGAACTTTTGTAGACTTGGGTATCGGTAGCCAACCTAGCTGCTAGTCGCTCACCCAAATATTGGCGTGACCCTGAACACTTTATCCCGGAGCGATGGCTTAAAGAAAATTCTGACTTCGACGGCGACAAACGAGAGGTTCATACTCCGTTTTCTATTGGAGTGCGCAACTGTATCGGGATGAGGTAAGGACCCCAATCTTCCTCCAGCATCACATTTAACATACTAATGCAAAAACAAAGCTTTTCGAACGCTGTTTTGCGGCTCGTCACAGCTAGGTTGCTCTGGAATTTCGACCTCCAGGCTCAACCAGATAACATCGACCCGCACGATCACCTTGAGTACGCAATCTGGGAAGCCAAGCCACTCCGGATTAAAGTCTCCGCGGCCAATGTCAAAAACTAGTTAACTCCTTCATCCCTCTTTGGCCGTTCCCCGGTGATATTGATGCCAACAAGTAACTATTTTACTCGATAGAAAGGGTGTTTTTGACACTGGTTAACGATCTCATCGACTGTGTGCCCATACGTAGCTAGAATGAAATTTAGACCACTCGTGATCTTCTGTCTATGCAAAGTTCTTTGAATAGCAGGTCGCATGACTTATCATACTCGTACTATAATATTATAATTAGCAGAGTAGTAATATATAGATACTGAGACTTATTTACCTTCCACGGATTCCGAATAACCGTCGTGGTAACTCTGCCGTTGATCCATTCCTCGTTTTTAAGTTTAGTACTCACGGCTTCTTCTGTATACCTAGGATGGGGATTTCTCACAGCTGTCGAAGCCGATGTATAACTTTGCTATCGAGGAGCAACGGTGAATTCTAAGGTCATACGCAACTGACATTCTTCAGTGAGGAAGAAAACGGTTGAAGTTGCAATTTGAGCTGAAGAACTTTAAATCACGTGGAAGAAAGCTATTATATAATCCGGGTCCGTGCCAAGCTTAACCTTAAGCTCAAATCAAAAGCGAAAAAGCGCGAACGAGAAAGGCGAAAACGAAAGAATATAATAACTACAACTCTTCGTCTTCAAGCTCTGCTTTACCATATAGTCTCTACAGGTGCTAATACCATATTTGTTTATACTGGATTTTACTTCTTATACGCTTTTATTCCCGTGAAAGGTGATAGGATGTCTTAACTAGTCCTCTGCGGAGGCTCAGGGAAGGGGTCTGGTCACCTAGATGGTCATATTACTACCGGAACCTGTCCTTAGAGATGCTAAAACTGGGTCTTTGGGCGTATTATTCCTCTGTTACTTTTTCCTCAATGGCGAAAAGTTATCTCCACGCTGAAGGTTTTAGCAATTATGGAGTTTCCAGTCAATGCGGAAACCAACGTTAGAGTCTTTGTATGTTTGGTTAATGGTACGAGATGTCTTCCAGCAGTTGATACTAATACCCAACTAGGATGAACTCTCAACTTGTTACTGGAGGGTATATGGTGTTAGTTCTGACGGGAATGATCTGGGAAACGAGGGAATCCCAGTATCTCAACTATTTAACAAAGTCGAAATATGCACATTGGCACTACGGGACTCAGGATGCCTTACATGTCCGTCTTCTGATGGAACAGGACTTTGGGTGTTCTCTCCCGACCCTGAATTTTCTAAATTAAAATCCTGTTCTTCAAGCCAGGGTAACAATCCTGACAAAATCAGAGTTGGACAAGTACATATACAAGGTAAGTCAGCCTTACCAAAATAATGTCGATATACTTACTCACTGGGTCTTTAGAAATATTTAGTGGAATAGTGTCTGTTGCCGAGCTTTCTCAGAAACTACAGTCCGAGCCTTCGGGCAGTATTCTAAGTTCTACACAAACTAAGGAACGAGCGGGCAGCAGCAAGCTGAAATTACCCAAGTTTTTGGAGCTAACGAATGCTACTCTATATACGTCGTTCATTAGCTCTATTGCATGGTCAATATCCCTTCATTTGGCTAAAAACCACCAGGCAATACCCCTTGGAAAAAGAACGTTTTTTACTGTTACAGATTCCGATATACCACATGGCGGAAAGCCAAACTCCATGATTTCAACACTAGATATTGAAACATCTCAGAGCGGTAAGGTGGTCATATCACTTCGATCTGAATTCCAAACGGGAATAACTCAGCTCTCCGAGCAACCGGGGCTGAACAGCACGGGCGACTTACGGCTGCATGATGATGTATGGCTTGCACCCACAGGCACAATAGCTCGATACATAGGTATAGGTGGCAGTGAGTATGCATTCGAAACCAGCACGCCGTATCTCACTAATAAAAATGCATACGGCACAAGAAATGATTTTCTGGGTGAAAGCCAGAACATATGGAAATTGGCTGTTTGCTCCTGGATTGAAAGATCTGGGATACCTATAGAAATATCTGATAGCATGAGGTGGATACAAGTTGAAATAGTGGCCAGTCATCAATATCAGCGTCTAACCAAGGCTGCTAGTACCCGAAGAATTTATTGGCCCGCTCAACTATGTTTCAAAAGAGCACCGTTTTCCACCAGTTCCACGATTCAAGGAGCTGAGACTTTGTCTCGTGATAGCATTGGCCCTCTACAGTATGCACATCAGTGGCTAAGCTGTTCTGCTCCCAGGGATGAGGCTTTAAAGAGGAACCCTCCATCAGATGTGGCTCACTACCCTGTACAGGACCCCCAAAGCGAGATAGCATCACCTGATGATATGGATATCCCAAATATAGCCGAGAGCATGGCGAGGACAATAGTATACCCTGATTTTCAACCCGCCGCGGTGTATCCTACTCCTCCTGGAGGCGCATTAGGCTTCGGGCAGCTTTCTTCTGATAACCATGGCGGGCAGTATCCCCTTGACATATCTCAAGCCTCTAGAGAAGGGTCTGACCCAAATATAAATGAACGCTTAAACCCCAACACTAGGTTGTTGCTAGAAGCAAGTTCTCCTGGATTTGGTGTCGGAGTTGGGATGTATGACACCGCAGGCGATGACGACTTGTTCGAAGAGATAGGTGACAATTTTGATGACAAAGAAATAACTGAAGCGGACTTTAACTTTTTTGATGAACCTGGCCTTTCGGACTCAAATCTGGACCTTGATCCCGGACATGTGAACCATGGCTTTCTTATTCCAGACAGCGACACAGCGGATGTAAAGGCGGATCTTGAAATGAGTGAACCACCGGCCTCCACTGAACCACTTGAAGCTACTAAACACCAAGAGATGGAAACTCCAACTCTAGATAGTGGCTTGAAAGACGACCTGAATCAAGTGTATACAGAGGCTAGAAGCAGCCCACCTGTAGATGAGGAGGATGCGGAAAGAAATACAGAACGCCCAATAAGTCCACCACTCAGCCCGTCAGGAATAAAACGTATTCTATTCTCAACAACTCGGGAGAACTCAAACGGGGTCGGAAACGGAACACCTTCTATTACCATGCTTTCAACGGAGGGCGATACTGGACCAGGGCAACTTAGGAGCCGTTATGACGCGGTATCATTTCAGCATGAGCTTGACTCTTCCGACAGAAAATATGGAATTGATGGCAGATTTTGGTTTCTCCCTGGCCCAAACAATGTCAATCAAAATGCTGGTTCGGATACAATAAAAATCCCCACCATCAATGAACTGCCCTCATCCCTATGTAAAGTAGGACAGGCAACATACTCCTATAGAGGAAATCACAGCATGGATAGCCCGGATAGTGAGCGAAGTTCGACTGCTAATTCCTCGAACTCCTCAATTTCAGGGGATAGCTATAGCCAACCTGAACTCAATATGATGCGCCCCGTGGATCCCATCGATGCCAGGTTAAGACGGGGTGATTTGGAAGAAATCTTCTCAGTTAGCTCTTCTCTCCAAAGTCCCGGATTTAACGTTAGGAAGTCTTATGCTACTCAATCCGATCTAGAACAGGATGTGCTGTTAGCTGGACTTGTCCATCCTTCTGCCGACTGGTCCCTTTCTGGTTATTTCACAGCGTTTGAACCCACTGTTCGTTCAGCCCTATGTAGTCGAGATGATAAAATCCATGTGGCTCAACTACTAGTTGATCAAATTACCCAATCCAGCTTGGTGCACAAGATGGAGATTATCTCTGAGCAAGACGAGAACGATACCTGGCTCTCGTTTCTAGACGATATCGGCACTCTGGGCCAGTCTCGCAGGCCTAATCTCAAATGTTACGCATCCATAAGCGAGGGCAATCAACAGATGAAGGACGCAACCAGTGGTGCCATCATTAGCCTAAGACCACCGCATATACATATCCGGCGTGGAAGTTGTTCACTTGATGTCTTACCAACTGCTATCCCCTTTTGGGAAACATTCGGCCTTGGGCCTCTCAAAGGGAAGAAGGATATTATTTCATACTGTTTGCATCCAGTCTCCATGCAAGAAGGTGCCAGTGCATTTCTTGACAGGCTAGGCCTAACATATTTGGGTGCTAATCTTGGTACATGCTCGCACCCTGGGAGCACAAAGGGCTTAATTCCATGGTCCCTTAGCCAAAATAAACTCGACTACTCCTCTATTATGCGAAAATTACAACATATTTGCGAAAATTTAGGTATGTAGCAGATCGGCTCGCTTAAGTTGCCACTAGATCTAACAATCGGAATAGGAACCGCGCTGTCAAATTTAACGATGAACAACAAAAGTATTGTTGTTTACATTGTGAACCCTTTCAAGATTGGTGCAGCTACAGTAGACATATGTGTGGCTTTCTTACGCCTCTTCCACAAGTATATAGAGGAGGCTGACAAGCGTGCAACTCGTCGTCTTAATGAGCTGGTTTTGCAGATCATCCCATCCGACTTCATCACAGCTAATGATTCGCTGGTCATACCAACACAAAACGACTACCTACGTCTTGCGCTAGAGGTCTACTCTCGCTGCCCTCCGCATGAGCCCGTGTTAGATATGTTTGGGTGTGCTCCGGCATTTACCTTAGCGGCCCCAATTCCAAAGGTGATTCCTTTTAGGTTGACGGTAGATGAGGGTTCTCCCATGGATACTTCGCAGCCATACCATGTCGCATATTCTGTGAGCTATGACCAGCGCTGGGTTACTGCTGCGTGGACCGATAGCATAGGTCTTCGCCAGTTAACTCTGTCATACTCACTACGAGAGGATATTTCTCGCACTTGTCGATCAATGTCTGAGGTTAGAGAAGATATCTGGCAAACAACAGTAGATATGACAGGGCTATCTCGCGGTCGTTGGCGTGTTGTCATTGCTAGGGACGAACCAATGGACGCAGAAGAAGTAGCAGGTATGAACCCTCACATTACCCCTACCGCCGAGTAAACTCACTAAATTTATATAGCCTGGGTCAGTCTTGCAGCTCACCATAATCAACATCAATCCGGCCAAGTAGACTTGATCCTACTTACCGTAAACACGAAGCCAAACCTACGTATGAAGATACCCCCCCCGCCTCCACAATTAAATATACTCTATCAATCCGGCAACGCATCGACTCCAGTTTCTACGCCAAAACATAGCATTTCTTCTCCCGACCAGTTTACTACCGCCCAGACCCCACCAAATATCTCCAGCTTCGCTGTCAATACCCCATCTTCATCATCCGAACTAGCCCAACCTCAGACCCAGCCCCAGTCTCAGGTTCATCCAACTCAGATATCCGTAGATCCCAACACTGAGACTCTTCTAGTCGATAAATCGGACGATGCTTGGGCCCTTATATTATCTCAACGCCTGAACAATTCTCAATCATTCACTACTTATACGCCTGCTCTCGCAAACGGGTATCTTATCTGTCGTTACGGTACTAGTGATACAGACTGGATGGCCTCCTTGATGGTTAATCTAATACACACTCAGACCCGAATTCCTCACAACATTCTTTTGAAGGATCTGCTAAGTATATACCGGGATATGGCCTCATTGGCTAGGACTAGAGGAATCACCTATTCTCGAGGAAATCACGCTATCCCCTGGCATATTTCAACCGCCGTCAAAGGGCAGGAGTTATTGGGTTGTATATTATGAACAAATGAATGTCACTTCAACTTTTAGTGACCCTTTATCACTGATTCCCGTATCATAGAGGAATATTATATATTAATACCGTTTATGTTTAGGGCTAGAGTGGATGCTGTTCTTTGAATTATTGAGATTGGAAGGTATATTTGATAGTCAAAGCTTCGGTATAAGCCCTGAAACTCCCTCGTCATATACCTGTGCGAGGCCAAGAAGAAAAACCAACAATTTCCATGTTGAAAGATTTCCAGCCCCTTAAAGATAACGGCCTTCTCTAAAGATTTCCTCAAAAGCGTATTCCAGCAGAAACGCAGTATTGTTATTAACTTTCATGTTGTCTCTCCTCATAGCTTCTACCGCCTTCTTTTCTCGTATATCCAAAGCCTCACGTAGGCGATGAATCTCGCTAAGCTCATCCTGAAGCCGGGGCTCGATAGACTCTTTCTCCATTTCCAACGACCTCATGAACACGCCCATAATAGCCTGCATCTTGCCAAGCCGAAGTGCCCTGGAGTTATCACGGAGTGCCGCCAGAAACTGAACCGCATTTTGTACTAGTCCTTCAAGTTTGTCGAGACTGATACGCACACGGTGAACAGAAATGTTGCGGAGCTCATAGCTAGAATGAAAGATTCCTTTTATATTTGGATAATCCTCTGTTCTGAAAGCGTCAATAGGGATCTCATCGAGGGCTTTGGTTACGGCCACGGTCCATTTACTCAACTCGATGGCTTCTGGACAGTCCCACATCTCCCTCAAAATCAATCCGGGAGCCCATTTCGTTGTGAAATCAAAGCAGGCTTGCTCGAGTAGGCTCTGGGTCTTGGTCAGGATCAAATGTTGTATTTGGTATGAGATACAAGCACATCTCGAAGTAACATGCATGGAGGACATTGGACTGCGGTTGGGGCCTGCGGTTTTATCTTCAGTAAGCTATTTAGCAATGACAATAGTCATCTAATTATATGACAGAGAAACTCTATACCTTCTTCAGTTTGAGATTTCTCGACTTCCACCGTCTTGCCGACAAGACACTCGCCATCATCTTCTTCCGACACACTATTGTCACCAGTATCCTTCAATGAGCCTTTTGGAACCCAAGTATTGGCACTATATCCCCCTTGTACCGTTTGATAAGCCTGACTTGGTTTTGGGTCATGTTTTTCCGCATCTTCTAAAGCAAAGGCGTTGTCTTTCAACAAAGATTGCAAAATATCAACGATCTTATGAAGGCCCAAATCCGCAAGCAGATCGCTGGGAGGGCACTGGTAAGTTAGTAATTTCGTTAATATTGCCTTTCTTCGCCGAATCAACGCGTTTTGCCCGACGAAAAGTGGCTGGTAAGCCTGAAAGACCCTTTGCATATCACCTTTCAACGGAGCCATGTTTTATAGAAGTGAAATTTGGTTTTTGGCCGGTATGTGTCTGTAATCAGCTTTGTTTGATTTTCATAAGTAAAGCGTAGGATAGGCAAATTTGGTGAATCCTAGGTTTGAATATTAAGACGGCTTCTGTATGTGATATAAGGGAAATCTTCGTCTAATACAACGAATACATCGCATTTAAGACGACAACTCTCGCTCACACAATCCCAGACCCAAAAATGAGATTGTTTCCAAAATGCGGCAAAGAGAAAATGTGCGTGAGAATTGCAACCAACTGAGCTAAGCAGTGAGGCAGTGCCTTGAAACGAAGGCCGTAATCAGCGTGTGGGGGTAGTTAGGCAGCACCAGCCATATACTATCCCAGGGGCACATTTCTGGCTATTGATGAATGGGAATCTCTATGGTAGGTAAGTAAATAAACCATAGTCCTAGTATATTCCTGTCATACTGAATGATATTCAATTTCTGCGAAAAGAAGGGGGCTTGGGGGAGAAGAATTCCCTCGCATGTGATAGACCGCAGTTAGAAATCCATGGATATATTATGGTTATGATATTTTCACTCTATCAGTCTGTAAGCCCCTATTTTTGTGCTTCGGGGTAGGCCCTACTGAGCAATTCCATGGGCAGAATTGCTTGGTTTCGATTTTCTAATCAAGCGAGCAGGCGCAGCAATATGCAAGAGATGATGGGATAATGATTCCATAATCCTGACAAAGTACTCTAGCTAAAAAAAAGTTGCCACTGTTGAAAGTAGAAACTATCAGAGGATGGAGTCCTCGTTTGGTATGAAAGACGGAATACGGTTGAAGAGCCGCGAGTAATTTTGCACCAGATGCATAAACCATTTACCATGAGGTGCGTAAAGAGGCAGGATTATTAATCCTAACGGAAAGTTGCATTGCTTCGCCGTTGTGAGATGCATGACTCTACTGTATTTTCGGTGATGCTGGGGCTTAGCATATTTGCATGGAACTGGTCCGAATGAGATCATAATACCAAGGATGCCGGGCAAGGAGGGATTGAATCACTTCCGGCGATATCCCGTATGGGGTGTATGGCACATCATTGACGGCAGCGAGAAAAAAAAGAAAAAAGAAGTAAACTAGGATAGAAGCGGGAGTAAAAGAGGGTGTCTAGAGGCACCAGTGATAGGGGAAAACCTCCATGTACGCCACTCACTCATCACCTAGAATGTATATGGCCAAGGTAAATAGTGGGACTGAAGGCCGAGGGGAAGATTTGAGCACTGCTGCCTAGAGTATAAACCACATGAGCATGCTTGAACGTCAGAGGCCGGCAGCCGGCGCTGGTATTGGACATGTTATTGGTGATTCAACTTGCAGGGAATTGGCATAGGCGGAAAGTATGGTGGATGCAAAGAGAAAAGACAAGAACTGAATCGGGGATAACACGGCGTAGGCAATGCGGCTTTTTCCACCTCTGAGGTAGGGAAGTGGAATAGCACTGCGAGTGGCGATGAAAGTGAACACATAGCCAGGCTCACAATCATGATCACTGAGACTAATGTAATGCAAGGCAGAATTCCGCCATTATGATTGCCTGGATATCAACAGCAGGGTAATGGTAAGGAGTATAGAAGAAACCAGAAGATAGCAGCAGACAATGCTGTTCGTGCAACAAAATTTTGCAGAAGCTGCACACCAAGAAAACCTCCTTTCCCGCGATGCAGCAAGAAAGATTTTTCACTGCAAGGCTGATACGAAAACAAACACGATGTTTGAGAGGGAGAATCTAGCACGATTCCTCCAAACTATATCCCTATCTACCCCCCACGCTTAGGCAAGCCAGTACTTATCGGTAGTATCGCAGTATCATGGGTATATTGTGGAGCAATTCTCATTCTGTAGACCTCTAAAAAAGCCAGGCTTTCTAACTGTCTCCCCGAAGAAGAGTGCGTTGGGCGCGGGATAAGTCTCCATATTGAAATGGAAATCATTGTTTAGATTGAGTGTTATGAGGGTATTGAGGCGCAAGCGCGATAGAACAGATCTAAAGCAGGCCCCCAAACCCATCTCTGTCGCTCAAACCTCCCCCTGACCACCTAATGTCGCAGAGTGACGTCCTATTGACATCTTGTATGGCCAACGTTTGCTCGAGGTCGAAGTTTGGGCGCTTAAAAAGAAAAATCAGCCCATAAATAGTTGTTTGCTTAGTTTGCAGTAGGTATCATGTGACCAGGAGGCCCAAAATAGAAATGACAAAGTTTAACGACTTCAACTCTTCAACTTCACCAGGGAAAAACAACCAACAACGGAGAGCAACAAGATGTTGGAGGATAGTGTTAGAGAGCTGCCCCTAATAGCCAACGAGGGACGGCTCGGGCTCGAGAGAAGACACTATGCCGTTCTCGGAAAAGCTCCATGTTCATCTCAGCTGGAGTGATTCAGTTTACCGGGTAGAGCAGAGGCGGTGCATGATTTATGGGAAAAGGGGCCGTCACCAGCCTCGCTCGTTTGTTAGTTTGTGGCTCGACTCAGACTACTTGAAACTCTAGGGTGGCAGGTTTGGTAACCCACTCTTTGGTGCTGTGGCTTCGGGAGCAAAAGTGCTCGGATAATACGGAGTGATTTTTGTTATTGCTATCACCAGCCTCATCCATCGCGAGGTGTGGCTTTCAACACTAAATAAAAGGCTGAGCGTCCTTGAGCCTCAAAGATCGGGCGTGGGCATAAGCGAGGTTGCGAAGTATCTGCAATCGGAGTGACTCAACGAAAAGATTTGCGCTGCCTCGTCACCACCCCTACCTAAAAAAATATGAGTGGTCATCCGGACGATTGGAGGGGGAATTCCAACTTGATCAATAGCGAGGGGAAGTAATGTCCTATAATTCTACAGCTGTTATTGGGCAATGCGCACACTCATCCCACGATGTTGGCGGACAGGCACAGGACTCCTTTCTTGAACTGTGTGCCACTCAACTTTCCCCAAGCTCAAGCTACCAACTACTGTGACTATGACGTCTGCCTCTTTCTCTTCTTTATGGCGGTTGACCTGACCCGTGGATAAGAACGGGGTAACATGGAGTTATTCGAGGCACGGTAATTTCACTACTCGGGAATCCGCCTTGGACGAAGTGAATAGCTTGATTGTATAACCAAAAAGATCAAGTACGATACCTGGAGGAACTATCCGTGGCAATAAGCAATAAGCAACCCAGGGTGTAAGCTACCGAGGAATCAAAATTCGTCGGCGCCTGCTTTTAGCCTAGCGCCCATGCAATGGAATGTTCCGCCTTGCGAGATCCCAGCTGCTGCGCACATCCTGGGGTGTGCTAAAGGTGCAAGAGGGTGTGAGGGTTTAGGCATCCATCTTTCAAGCTTGGCTTATTATCATTAGTAAGAATAGGCACCAGCAGGATGGTTTCTCACTATTGGCTAAGCCTCGTTCCCCAACGCTGCTATTGGGCGCGAGCTGCTTCCAAGCTGTGTCCTGCGATCTCGTAAAATAGGGTTGCCCAGCGCGGATACTTACAGATGGCTTGGCTCGAAAGTCTAAGCGGGTCTGAGCTTTTTTAGCTGCAAGTTGAAGATGGTATCCGATTACCTGCTCATCAGCCCCCTGGAATATAAATAAGCCTGACATACCCCCTCCTCGTTGACTACATTTCCTCATCAGTCAACCAGATATACCTTTCATTGGAGTATTTCAACCAGGCCACAACTCTACAGCGACAATAAACACATTACCATAGTCGACCTTATCAACATCAACAATGCCTTCTTTCATCTCTCAGTCAGGGCCACCGGCCATCCTTAGCCATAGCCGTCAGCCCATTACCCAGGAATTCCATGTTATGGACCGATATGCTGGACACGCTTCCCGTTGCAAGATCTGTGCAAACCCAATAGAGGTCATCTCAAAGGGAGGAAATCTTTGTGACCGTGGTATTCGACATGCACACAACCTCATCCTCTGCATCCGAAGCCGTGGAGGCAAAGCCTATGCCGCCGTCGATATTGAATTCACCCCAAAGCAAATTGAGATTCCACCTCAGTGTAGCGTCATCAATGATCTTCTGCGCGCACTTGACCTAGGCCTCCTGGCGAAATTGCAAAAGCCACAGCCGGTAGTCATCAACGTTCGTAATGACTCTCGCAAGAGTCAAGCAGAAAATACACCATCAAGCCCCGTGTCACCATCCGCCTCATTGCCTGAATGTTCAAGCAGCACGGTAGTTGTCGTCTCCTCGCGCAAGGGCAAGGAGACATCGCGTGATGACCTCTCCTTCTCTCGTCGCGGAACGCTCTACCCCAACGAAACTTCCAATCAGCTGGTCACCCGCACATACCACTCCTCTTCTAAATCAGGCATTAAGGTACCATCTAGTTATCTATCGTGAGGGGCCATTAGTTTGAATTAAATTATCCGAATATGGAACGATACACCACAACAGCAGGCTAGTCAGCTGCAGTCCTATCGATTCTATCCAAAGCTCAGAGGGATCTGTTTTCAGCACGCCCTCATTCAGAGCAGCAGGCCATCACTTCCACTGTCCCGCCAAGACAGTGGAATGTCCAAACAAACCCTGTGTTCAGCTTAGGGTGTTTGGCCATATATCACGATGCATCGCTACTACACACCCAAGAGCACATATTTGTACCAGTCCAAGGTGTCACTAGATACGCCGTCTACTTATCGTTGGCTTACTACCCGTCGTATTCCCGTTAGGCTGTTGGGGAGTGAACACGATGGTAAAGGCTAGAGCAAAGAATATTCTTCTGCATCTAATCATATATCTATTCGGTTGTCCACGGAACGGATGATGTATGGTATGGGTTTTTTTTTTTTTTTTTTCCGCGTCGAAATAGCTATCTGTATGTATCCAATCATCACATCTTGATAGTAAGAAAAGAATTAGTCAGATAATTAACGCACCGTGACTTCCATTCATCTATCCCATATAATTATTCATGAGTCTAACCTGTATTTTTATCTAAACTCTGTATAAGACATAAGACTCAGGGGCCTTTCCGCCTTACGGAAATATCACAATGGCAATACAAATATAGTTACTTTCTGACATCTGCGCCACGTTTAGAGCCTCCCCCCGCATATCGACCTGATGTTTAGTTCACATAGGGAACTTACATCCCCCAACTTGTTTCTATAACTTCAGTATATAACAAAACTTTATCAATTTGCTCCACGCTCCTCGAAAATTTTGAATTAGTAGTTAACGGCCAAATATGAAGTGCGGAGAGAGGACCAGAGTGCGTTCAAATAAACCTGAACCAGACTTTTGACATGCCCCAAAGTTTTGTACTGTGAATCACAGCGTAAGTAACGGGGTTGATACTTATAAAAGAGACTCATATACCCCCAGTGAGTGTCCTCCCCCTTTCGAAATCCGAGGAAAATAAAAAGTCGTGGCAGGCTTTATCTTTATTTTCTATCGGGTCTCTCCCTCTGGTTGGAATAGTGGCATGCAGTAATGACGCATTCTGCATCCACGCCATCCATTAAGCCCCAACACTTTTTCCCACTGAAACTGCACACGCACCTCTGAACGCTTTCCTTCTTCTCTTGAGGCAAATTTTCCTCTTTGACGGAACAGGGCCAAAACTCCTTAAAACTCCATAGGTTTGGGCACTGAGAGCAGTTCTATTTAGTCAGTTCCTACTACTACTACTAAGAAACTAGGTAGATAGTTACTGATATTATTGTCAAGGCTTACGCATTTCTCTCGTTACGTCCATTGACTTGGAACTTAGTTGTCTATAGGAATTGGTAGTTATGGAAGAACAGCAGGCGTCGAACTCAGAAGGGTAGGTAGAGGACGAAGACTCTTTTTAGCTGGTCTTCAGTAGGATTTTAAAAAGCTTCCCGCGTGTGATATATCATTACATGTCGACTTTCTGTTTATTAATCATATATCCTCAACCTATATCTCGGAACTTTCTCAAGATCCCGTGCATTGTTTGTTCGTTTGTACCATCTCATATATCAGAGGACCATCAGGGTGTAGCCCCAGGCTTACCTCAAAAGGAATTGCAGGAGGAGGCCTGTGAAGCGAAGGAGGAAGAGCCAGTGTTCCCAATATCGGAGTTAGCGATTCTGGCTTTAGGGCCATCGTCGCAGCCGAGCAAACTAGCCGCTAAGCGCGATACTATATCACGTGACTCTGCCTTCATTTTTTTTTTTTTTTTTTCACTTATGAAGGATGTCAATGAAGTAGCAAAGGGGATTGTTGGCCGCAAGCATGAAGCTTTCCAACCATTCAGTGGTACCGGTATATACGATATCTGGCTCCTCTACCGCACGACCTCTTCCAGAATGGCTTGCCAGAAGACGGAAGCGAAGCTTGAAGGCGGACGCAGAGTATTCAAACCGGGTGGAACTGCTTCAAGATTTCGAGTTTGAAGAAGCAAGTCAATGTATCCGTGTCAGTGAGGATGGACAGTGGGTAATGAGCACAGGTTAGTGTTGGCCGTATCTTCAATTTACATAGTATTAGTTTCTGACTGGAAAGGATCTAGGTACCTACAAACCACAAATGCATGTACATTACCTTCCACATCTATCGCTCTCATATGCCCGCCATACAATATCCTTAAATACAACGTTTCTGCTCCTGTCATCAGACTATTCAAAGTCGCTACATCTTCAATCGGATCGTTCGTTGGAATTCCATACTCCTTCCGGATGCCATTACACCACGCGCCTACCTCGGTACGGCAGAGATTTAGTGTACGACAGGCAGTCCGCGGAAGCGCTCACTCCTGCTGTCGGAGTCAATGAGAATGGCATGGGAGAGGTGTTTCGTTTAAATCTAGAACAGGGTCGATATATGCGCAGTTACGAGGTTGAGGTTGGAGGAGACGATTTCACAACTCTTGGTGGAGGTGCTCTCCAAGGTGGTATACACACCGGAAGTGTGAATACAGGGGCAGTGGCCGAGGAAAGCCACAACCTGCTTGCCTTTGGGACGTCTATTGGAACCGTTGAGCTTTGGGACCCTCGCGCAAAAGCAAGGGCTGCTATCCTTTCACCCTACACCAAAGATAAATCCGAAATCACCGCCCTGGAATTTAACAGATCTGGCCTCACCCTTGCAACTGGCTCATCTACCGGTCTCATTCATTTATATGACCTTCGATCACCAATCCCTCTTCTTGAAAAGGACCAAGGTTATGGGTACCCCATCCACACATTAACATTCCTTACCTCGTCTATATCGACACGCGAACAAACAAGTGATCCGAAAATTATGTCAGCAGATAAGCGCATTATCAAAATATGGGATCAACGAGATGGTACTCCATGGACGTCCGTAGAACCGGCGGTTGATATCAACAGTGTAGCGTGGTGCAAGGACAGTGGCATGATACTAACGGCGAACGAGGGGAGGCAGCAACACTCCTTTTTCATTCCACAACTCGGACCAGCACCTAAGTGGTGTGCTTTCCTGGACAACCTTGTTGAAGAAATGGCAGACGATCCTAACGACCCACACGCATTTGTCACCGGCCAATCTGGCTCTGTTTACGATAACTATAAGTTCCTCACAGTTCCTCAGCTACGTGTACTGAACTTGGATCATCTTATTGGAACTACAACACTGTTACGCCCATATATGCATGGTTACTTTGTTGCTCAACGCTTGTACGAAGAGGCACGATTAATTGCAAATCCATTCATATGGGAAGAAGAAAGGGATAAGAAGATTAAAGAAAAGATTGATAAAGAGAGAGAGAGCCGCGTTCGTGGAAAGAAGAAGGTTGCGGCGAAAGTTAACAGGAAACTCGCGGAAAGGCTGCTTGAGAGGGAAGAGAAGAGAGAGCGACTCCAAGCACAGAGGGTACTGGCACAAGGAGGCGACGAGGCTACTGAAAAAGAAAAGAATAGCTCTGGCACTACCGAGCCCAGCACTGGTGGTTTACTTGGGGATTCGCGATTCAATAAACTATTTGACGACCAAGATTTTGCCATTGACGAAAACTCGAGAGAATACCTTCTCACACACTCAGGAAATGCTCCAGCAGCAACTGCTAGACCTGAGAGAGGGTTGACGGCTGTTGAGGAGGAACTTATCGACGAGGTACCGGGCTCAAGCTCAGACGAGATGTCCTCCGAAGATGATGAGCCTCGAACAGCGCGAGAGCCTTCTTCGAAACAGATTTCTACCGCCTCCTATAGGCGAAATAAACCCAAACAGCCTCAAATGCAAGTGACCTCGTCTTCTAAGGTCTCACGAACTCACGACCATTCCTTTGAGTCCAGGGTTCGCAAACACCAGACCAAGAAACGACCTTCAATGGGTCGATCTGGGGGAGAAAAGACAATAACTTTTGCTCCACAGTCGAAGCCTAAACCCAGGCCAGCAGTTGACAACATTGATCGAGTGAGTTACCAAAAGAAAGATCGCAGAAGCGCTTCCGGAAATACGTTTAGAAACATGTAGTGCTGCAGTTCATGTCTACATCTTATCTATTCGAGAATAATCTGCGTTGAAGGAGAATTATCTCTTGAGATGCCTACTGTCAATCGATAGGTTTATTGCCTCCACTGATATTGGGTAGCCTGTCGGTTCCCATCTATTGGGGGGGCGGAAGAGTTGCTAAAGCCCCTGTGTGTCCCGGTCAATGCGAAAATTAGCCGCGCAAAAGTGACATGACCGTGGGCCTCAATGATTGATCGACAAATGGCAGAACCTACTGGTAAATGTTGACAATGACTGATAGCCACATCCGTGAGGGGTGGCCCAATTACCAGAGCGTCTTGGAATTGTATTGGACCTCACCTGGGCATGTTCATACCAATAATTAGAGATTGCAGTGGAGATGTCATGGATGAAAGAATATGAATTACGGTCGCAAGGCTAGGTTACCGAAGGCTGGTAATGAACTACACACTGCCTCGCCTACTTATAATTCTTAGAACTAGATCAGAGTATGATAAAATATGATAACGCGGATATAATCTAAGCCAGCGCAGCAACTCCATTGAATATATTTATTAGTTCGGGAGTCTCACATTTTCGTCATTCTGAGCTTCCTCACGCTCAATCCTAGCTACAATCTCGTTGATTTGATCCAAGTCGGCACCAATTCCTTTTGCAAACCTTTCCCAGAAGTTATCCGTATCATTCACCCTTGGGTAAGGGACATCAGGTACGGGCACTCCCAAAAACTTGCAAAGGGGCTCCCACCCATCCTTGGCCTCGAATTCAAGTAAATTATCCGCCGGCACTACATCGCGAACCATCTGGTAGTGCTTTGCCCAGGCATCCTTACCATTTTTGCGGAAATCGTTTCCGAACAGATGTTTCCAGACCAATTCCAACAAGACAAAGCGGTGTTCGTTGATTTTCAGCTCTTGGTTGACAATGTGAGCCTTGTAGATGGTGTTAAGGACAGAGCTAAATGAAATTAAAAACGTAAGCCACGTTAGGCATGATATATAAGGAATTCAGGCACTGTGGCATGGGCAAACTTACGTATACCACTTATCTACATCCCTCTTATTCAAAACAACTTTAGCATCTGGGTATGTTGCCACGAGTTCGGGGATAAAGGCACAGCCGGGAGCATCAGTTGTAGCCTAAACGCAATTCAGCCTTCGAATTCTCATGTTATCTGCAATTTAGGTTCAAGAGTCGTACCTGGCAATGGCCAAGTATAGCATCCCAATCCTTTTTTTCAAATGTGCCGACGCCTTCATATTTCGCACGGAGGGCATCGACCCATATTTCGCAATCTTTTGGGTTTTCTACGGCGCAGCTGATCATATGGTATGTATCTTCGAAGCCTAGAATCTTCAAGGCAGTTCGAAGAGCTGATATTATATGCAGATAAGTATAGCTTCCAAGAATCTGACCAGATTAGGGGATAGAGTGTCCAGCTCAACGTACAAAGCGTTCCGGTACGAGGCATGCCCGCACATATCACCCTCATAGGTACCACACGGGTACATGTCCGCCTATCGATATCGGTAATAGTTGGTTCGCCCATATTTGGAACGTTTCAAGAGTGTGGACGAGAGAGTGGAGAGTGGTATACAGTAAAAGGATGGCTTGATAAGTCGTGGACTAGAAGCAAGGAGCGAGGTACACGCCTTTTATATTGCATAAATCGAACATCAAGCGAACCATATACCCTAGACTATTACATCCATAAGGTTTCCATGTATCTGGCTGCAGGCAGGCTTAGTTGTACGGGATAGAGCCTGAAATACCCCATACCTGTGGACCGTTTAGGCCGGAGTTAGCAACGTTCAAGACGCCCGGGCCGTCCATCCGTTCAGGTCATGGTATCTGAAGAGCCCATCAAACGGGATATCGGAGCCAGGTAAACCGCTGGTCAATGGAATAACTTCCTCCTTTTGAAATACCCATGCTCATACCTGTAGTGTTCCCAGTCTGGGAGATGTCGTAGAGTGGCCTGGAGATGACTTCATCAATCCTACAAGCGATTGTCCACATAGCTTTCGGGCCTCGGACAGAAACCCACCCACGAATCGAGTGGATGCCTTGCTGTTATCTGATGCAGGATATGGTTAATCGACAACGATCCTCTAGTTTCGATATGGCTCGTTTTTTGTATAACTTAAATGGCCAGGGTCCGTATTAGGCCGGATCGACTCCCCTTTTGCCTTTATCTTTAACGATGGAGAATAATACTATATGTACTATGTAAACTGGTGTTCGTAATCCATTCTGGGTCATGGACACGGGCTTTGCTTACAATTCCTCTCCAATCCTTGCCAAAGAGTTCTGGCTGCATCCATGTTTCACGGACCATACCTTACTGTACATTGATTGGTGAATCTTCGAAAGGTGTTACTAAAGCCTGCCAGTGTGATATTTGGGGGCCTCCACAACTCCCCAAGACCCCTCCTTGCCAAGTCGAGGTTCCTTGAAAACAGCCGATCGCATACCGACTATGTATGTACGTATACAACCAAGTTTGCACGGAATCCTGAACTCAGTCGTTGTTTTGTCGCTGATACATATCAGTCATATTCGGAAGAGAGGTCGTCAACTGCGGGTTAGGCCGAGCCAGGCTGACGTTTGTCACCTTCAATGCAAGGGCCAAAGATGACAGCAAAACGTCCTGCAGCAGGTTGGGATGGGCAATGTGGGCGCCACCATACACGAACCAGGGCTTGCAAGTTAGGCCAGCTCTGCCCCCCGACTCACAGCTTTCTCAATATCTTGTCGTGGTCAATACCGGACAGCAAGTCTTTGCAAAGCAAGTCGTCGGCGAGATGTTTATATCTTTATCATCAAACGAGAAGAAGCTCTGCTTTTCCCTTTCTCGAAGTCGTCGTTCCTGCTTATATAAGCCAGTCTATTCACGTGATATAGAATAGGGGAGAAAAGACGTTTCTTCTTCTTCGTCATTGATGTAGAAAACATTTGATCAGTAGAAGATTAAGAATATTGGTTATCCCATAAAAATGCTCCTATGAGGTGCTGAATATGCAGTTGTATATGCATTATGTGTGTCTTCTTGCTATTATCTACCTATCATCTACACTTAATTCAAGCTCGAAAGGACATCTACTTCTGCGCATGTATTCTCGATAGTTGTTCTCAGCCGCGGTTTACGGACTCGGAAATATGAGATAAATGGTGTAGGATTGGTGGGCGGATTCTGTGTCATGCTCCACGAGTCGTTATATCCGAATTCCGGGTTCCATCCTCCGCATACGAATGACTGATACCCCCAGAGGATCCGAGTAGCATTTGTGTATGCTGAGTTCCGCACCAAATTTTGCTCCGTACATACCCTACGGCCCGATTAAAGTACTCTACGGCAGATCATGGCTACCAAGCCATCATTCCGGCCTAAACTCCTCCGGTTCGTGAAACAGCTCCTCATCCATATCTAATGACTAATGGTTGGCTGTGACGACTGCTGCTTTTGGTATATGACAGCCCATATACTCGTCGTCTCTTATGGAGGCGTGAGCTACCCCCTTAACAACCGGCCAGCGGTCTCAATCTCTATATCTTATTGACGAACGCCTTCGTGTAAAGAAACTAGACATGTCCTCAAAGCCCGAGAGTCCGTCCACACCGACTACGGTGTCTAGCTCTGCATATATGTGATGAGTACACTCTGGATGAAGCATGTATGCCATCATGATGAATTGAAGAGAAAAATCCAATGACAGGCGCCAGTTCTGATGAATCTGCTACCAAGGGCGGTTTGGCCGAGTAGTTGATGTTCTTTAGCTTGCTTGAAAGCCGAAACGATGGCATACATAAACGAGATCCTCGAGGATACGATCAGTATGCTGAATCTCTTCTACGTCATAGATGCTTAAGTGTTCCCAATAGGAGCCTGAAAATCAGGCTTGACAAGAATCGATGGAATAGAGGGATAAAGTTGTTAGTGCTGAGCATTTCATGTATGACCTGCCTACTCTCAATACCCTGTAGCAGCTAGTACTTTTACGTCATACAAGGGTTCAGCAGCCCAGCCTGAATCCCTTTGACAGCCAGTATGGCACGACCATTTCTGGGTGAGAGATGTGTATATATCTGGACCCTTTATCTGGTGTACATTTCCAATGAATGGCAGCCCTAGAGGGCCAGGTGGGAAGAGCTGCCGCCCTCTTCTTCTCAGGCACAACTATATACCAAACGAGATTTCCAGAAAAAGCGGCTTAAGAATGTCAATATCATGGTATATAAATTCCCTCGCCATCGGCTATCGATATATACTACCGAACAGCCCCCTAAAACAATATTAAATTGCCGCCGACAGTGCAACCAGTGCAATAGATTGATTTAGAGTATCTGATAGTTAACTATATAAATTTAAAACTCAACCAACAAGCCACGCGATTCTTATGAAGCCCGCCTCGCCTCAACGCACTAATCCATTACAGCCTTGGACACGGCCTCCGCCAGGACTCCAAGGGCCTACCGAGTGTATAGGCAAATTGGAAAAGTAACTAAGAGTATCGGGCCAAAGGAGGCGTTCAATACTGTTTATTCCATATAATAGGTAACATCTCGATCTAAAAAGAAAGAGTAATCCCGAGATGGTTACGCGGGCGGTGCCGCTAAACCCTAGATCACACATATATATATATCTTATATAAATTCAAACACTCCTCGAGTTATCATTTGGTGATTGCTTCAGCGGTTCGGAAAAAGACTCGCAAGTTGACGGGGAAAAGGAAAAAAGAAACTCGATGCCATAAGCAATTATTCAGCGTTAAGAGGGACAAAAAAAGCCAGCGTTTGGGACCTACAGATTTATACAACCACGACATCACTTTTATATTCGCTTCTCACGCTAGTAGTTATCAGGTGCTAAGGGATATCAAGACGGGGCGCTTTTCAAGGCCTATCAGTCAATTCTAGCCTACCATGGCCAGTGCCACTCTTTTTATGACGCCGGAGGAGGGAGAGCGTGTTCAGAAGACAGCCCAGGATCATATCCAGAAATGTCAATCACAAGCCGGCCGGTCGCGAGAGACCAGCGACAGCAAGTCTCTGGTCCAGCAAGCGGTTGGCAAGTCCGTGATGGATGACTTTGCCGCCGCAGCCTTTGATTTAGGAACAGCACCAAAGGAGAACAGCCAGGAAACTATGCCGGCATATGCTGTTGGTTGTCCATATTTGCCCTGTACAGCGAACCTGGCGGATCTAGAGCCCATGAAACTGTCAGATCTTCGCATGGAGACTCACCACCGCGGGAAAGTGATCTCACTCCGCCGTATCTCCCCAGTGGTCAGGCTGAAGACGTCTAGTTGGACGGTCGTGCGGGAAGAAGGCTCAGACGAGGCGGAGCGGCTGGAGATATCCCTGCATAGCACAAGGAACGGTGAAGATATGCTAGATTCTGGCTTAACCTTCTTAGTGAAGGAGCCTTACTATACACTTAATAACCAGGATGAATCCGTGATCCGCGTCGACCACCCGTCAGACATCATCATTACAGCTTACAGTGACAGTCCGTCTTCGTGGCGCAATAATGAAGGTGGTCCGGATTCAATTTCAGCATCTAAACCGGCCAGCAAGTGTAAGGAAGAAGGCAACGCAGCGCTTGGGAAGAAAGAATATTGGAGGGCCCACTCTTGTTATTCCGAAGGATTAAGATCAGCTTCAGAGGAGGATGACAGCATTCTGCGGAATGATATCCACCGGAATCGTTCTTACGTCAATCTTCTCCTCCAACGCTATGATGAGGCAATCTCTGATGCAACTTCGTCTCTCACACATGGGGCCGACGAAGAGCAGAGAGTTCTAGATGCAAAGGCGTATTCTCGTGCCGGTAGCGCGGCGTACAGTTTAGGCGACTTTGAGGCAGCTAGGAGCTTTTTTGAACATCAAGAGAAACTTCAGCCTGGTGACCGATTGGCGAAGATCAATCTAAAGAGAATAAAAATGCGGCTTCAGGAGAAAGAGTCGGGTATATATGATTTAAGGAAAGTAGCTAGCAGCCTACCAAAGACCCAAGGTCGGGCAGACGTTGCCAACTTCCACGGATGTACGGAGGTAAAAAAGAGCCCGGAAGCGGGTCGTGGCCTCTTTGCGACTCGTGATATCGAAGTTAACGAGACGATCATGTATGAGAAGGCTTTCTGCGTTGTCTGGAGCCATGATCCAGAAGCAATGTCATGTCTGACTATTGATCTCCGAGATGATGCTTCCATTAGAGTCTTCCCCGTCGGTTTACACAAGGCCCTGGTACAGAAGCTCATGAACAACCCTTCTCAAGTCGAGGGCATCTTGGACCTCTTCGGAGACTATGAGGGGCTCGGCAACAAGCTTCAAGAAAGTGACGGTAGACCGGTACTAGATACCTTCCAAATCCACGATATTATCCAACGGAATGCCTTTGGCCCAGGCCAACAGACAGAAAATGAAGATATCAGCAATGCTAGCACCGGCCTCTGGGTTCGAGCAGCATACATCAACCACTCCTGTGCCTCGAATGCAAAGAAAGACTACATTGGCGACCTCATGATCCTCCGTGCGACCCGTCGCATTTCTGCAGGAGAGGAAATCACACACAGCTACGACGAGACCAGCGATTACGACGCCAGAACAGCAGCCCTCCAGCGAACCTGGGGTTTCAAATGTCAGTGCAAGCTCTGCGCTGCGGAGGAGGCGGATGGTCCGGAAGTACGCCAGCAGCGCCTGAAACTCGAGAAAGAGGTCAACACATTCATGCAGAAAGAAAATGCACAGCAGCCAAAGAAGATTGCGATTATCAGGGCCAAACGTCTCCGTCAGAGCCTACTCGATACCTATAATGAAAAGAGGTACAAAGATCTACCTCGCAGGGCACTTTCTGGCATCGAGCAGTGGCTGCAGGCAGCCCGTTCCCTGTAGCTTGCTTGCGCAGAATAGATGTACATATTTGCCAATATGCCTTGAACGTATTTAAGAGAAAAAGCCGACTTCTAATGAAATGATCAACCCTAGAGCTTGAAGTATCCAGGCTGCAGGCGTTGGAAGACGCCTTCAGGATCATACTTCTTTGCCACGCTTTCAAGCCTTTCAATATTGGCACTTCCATAACTCTGAATAGGATCCTGCTTGACGCTCGCATAGTTCATGTAAACAAAATCATTCCAGAGCCCTCGCTCCGTTGCCTTCGCCTTCGCCTTCTTAAGCCAACCAACATACGCATCGATGACAATCTCATCATCTTCTGCGTTCTCCCACCTAGCACTCGGATTCATTATAATAAGTGGCTTTTCTGCGTTTAGACCAAGCGCATTACCGCCGCGCTCAGCCATCGGCTTAAGCATGGGTTTTCCAATGGGTTCCAGCGAATATACCGGTAAATATCCCTTGACTTTCTTCTGGATCGGACTGATAGCCTCAACCCAGTAGTCCAGCAGTTCAGACAAGAGCTCTGCGTTGACCTCTATGGTAGCAGCCCAGTAGCTCTCTCGCAGGCCATTGGGGTTGGCATCATTGAAGTCCATTGTAATTTGGGACAGGGTCGAAGACTTCACTGTATCCAGCAGCCGATTTGGCTCAGCAAAGAAGCCGTCGAATACGGCAGGATGCGTAGCGTTGTTCTTAAGGGACTCTGCATATTCAACTTGCGTCACGCAGGCGTACTGATCATGCTGCTGGTCATATATCACATTCACTATGAGCGCAGACTTGGGGTCCTGTTCGGCGCCTTGGTGGGTGTAGTCGGCCAAATGCTGGAGCACACTTCTATTCTGCGCTCCGGGGTGAATGAGATTTCCTCCCCACATCTCGCCTCCTTTCAGTGGATGCGTGAAGAGCTCGAATTCAGTGACCAGTCCGAAATTATTACCGCCACCTCGAAGTGCCCAGTATAGGTCCGCATGGTGGTGAGAACTGGCACGAACAATATCGCCTGAAGCGATGACAACCTCGAAGCTTCGAACATTGTCCAACGCCCATCCATACATGTTGCTGAAGAACGAGATGCCACCTCCCAGAGTCAAGCCACCGACGCCAATGTCAGCGACTCTTCCACCGATGACTACCAAATCCTCCTTTTGAAGTCGTGTATAGACGTCAAACCATGTGTTACCTGGCCCTACGGAGACCGTACGTCGGTCTTTACTCACGGCAACATTCTTGAGGCTGGAAAAGTCGATGGTGATACCGCTGGCGATGTTTGATGCACCGGCCATCGCAGCATGGCCGCCTGATTTGGCTGCAAAGGGACATCCGGTGCGGCGAGATGTCCAAACCGCAGTTGCAACATCCTGTGAGCTGGCTGGGCGGAAGAAACAAGCTGGAGATGTTTCAGACTGCTGGGCTGACCAGAACTGTGCCTTCTCCTCGTCATAAACCGTGGAGTTGGGCAGGCTGATCTGGCCAGAAAATCTCCTTGCCAATGTCTCGCACTGTTTCAGAACTATTAGCAAAGGATATTCTCTTACCCGAGGTCGGGAAGACTTACTGCCTTGGAGCATTCGTCTAATCTACTGCCAGCTTGATGTTGAGTTGTAAGGCCATCAACCAAGAAGCCAGAAAGCCCTGCGAGCCCGACTGCGAGCTGATGACTACAAAATCGCATTTCTCCTGATATTCGCGATGGCAAGCACTCTACGACACCGATGGTATAAATAAGAGGACCTCGGATGTTAAAAGGTGGAAAGGTGTGGTTCAGCCAGCAGGAAATCTGGAGGATTCACCACCAATTGGAAGATGTACCTGGTTACAAAAAGTGTGGATCTTCGTATTTTGTAGTGATAAAAGTTTTAATTGAAAAATAGTCAGCTAATTAAGGGAGCTATGGTAATCAGATGGATTACCACCAGAACACCAGTCTATTATCAGTCACTGTTTCTGTTCCTCACAACAGGGTCAAGATGAAAGCAAGTAAAAGAGCATCTCGCATGTGGGCATAGATTCGGTATTGGCTACTCCTCATCTTCGATGTTACTATCTTCGCCCTCATCTTCGTCCTCGTCCTCATCTTCCGTGGCCCGTACCGACTCTATCATCGCAGTTCGTAGGCTGGCAGACAGCGCAAGTTCTTCCTCAGGGGCAGGTGTTGGTGACGGGCAGTCAAAGGTTTTCCCTTCTACTAGAGCAGCAGGGAGATCAAACCCAGAAATACTCCTACCCAGGGAAATTAAGGTGGACTTTGCAAGATACGGCCCCATTGATGCCCATAGGACCTTGCGGCTTTCAATGTTTTCTGCCCACTGAATATTGCCCCTTTTCTTCGCGTAGAGGTAAGTGACAACGAAACGGAAGTATAAATATCTTCTGGCCGGGCGATTATCAGTGAGAAACGTGAGCTCCTTGCCGTCCAACTCCTATTCAATATGTTAGTCACTTTTCGATATGTGGCGGTGATTTAATCAAGCTTACCTCCCATTTGTGAACTACGCCAAATGAGTAGGCCCAAGTCTGGTTTCGTAAGGATTGGTCGACGAGAACGCATTTCCATTTGGTTGGCTCGCATTCGTTCGTAGAAGGGACTGGGATTATGGCAATAGTGCCATTATCCAGCCCTTTCTCGAGTGTCTTCCATAGGGTGATGCCTGATTGTTCTTAATTACCGATTGTCAAATTTTGAGAGTGCTGCTTTACGTACCATTTCTCGGGTCTTCTAAAACGACTTCCCCTACACCAAACAAGTGCTTTAGCTCATCTCCCCTTAAGGCTTTCGGCACTATATGTGCAGCTTTGATATTGTCGGAATCATGCCACATCCCAGTAATGTGACACCATGCCCTCTCTGTCCCCTCAGAGTCGTTTTTGGCTCCTAAGTATTTAATGACACCCTTCCTGAACTCCTTCTGGCTAAAGCTGCTGCTGGATTTGAGTGAGGAGGCACCCATGACCCGCGTAACCATAGTCGCCGTATATGCTCTTTCAAGGAAGTCGAGATTCGCATCTTTGGCACATTTCTGGCGTTTTAAATCAACCTCGCGCTCCTCCTCAACATCGGCTTCGATAGTCCGGAACTGTCGCTTTATAATCTTTAGTTCCCGGATAGCTGGAGTGTATTGCTTATCGAGGGTTATAAGCTCATTTCGGTAGTCTTCCTCCGTTAGATCTTTTCGGTTAAGGGCAGAACGAAGGCCATTCTGGTACTCTTCGTAGTAGTCAAGTCCCGCCGTAAGAGCATCAATCTTCCGTTCGAGAAATTCAGAGACCGAAGTTTCAATAGATGAACGTGACGCATTTGAAGCTGTGCCAACGACTCTAGAGTATTTTTTCTCCAACCTTTCCTGCTGGTTTTGAGGTAGAATTGTTGAATATTTATGTCGAAGAAGGGGAAGCTTGGAGGAGACTCTTGGGGGGATTTCCGGCTCCATGATAAGACAGTAGAAAAGAATCCACACGCTTGTAGAAGTATGGAGAGGTGCGTAATTTGAAGAGGAGAGATATCTGCTGGCTTGGATGTTCTTCGTCTTTGGACGCGTCGTTGCAGCCGGGAAGCAGTAGGAAGAAGAAGGACTTGGGAAAAGAGATTTTTATAAGTCAAGATGAGTCATACGGAAGGTGTCATCATGAAGGGGATATTTCTCTTGAACCATGGTCCATAGTTCGTGTCCTCAAGAGCGCAACCAGCGCTAACTGGAGAAGGTGTGATGACATTGACCTTCAGAATAAATTAAAAAAACAACTTAGGTGCAACCATTAGCGGAATTAAAGGGTTGTACATCTAAGATCGCATGCATCCCTGGTGCCATCGTAGGTATCAAATTGGTGTATAGAGCAACACCGTTATTTGAAGGTGTTTCCCAAGAGGACGAAATGAGGAATATACGCAAGAAAATAGATCACGTGATCTGCTGACCAAGCATCCATCCAATATGTTGATGACTAAGCACCACCATTCAATTTTGATAGGGTAAGATGACTAAGCTGCCAAGCCACTACTCATGCAAGGTTACAAGTATCCAATCAAATGCTCTGAATTCAACCAATCACGTAATTTACAGCAGACCCATCTATATATCTATCTACTTTTTGGAATACAATATAACTTCGCTTCGCTCCGTAAATTATTTTTCCTTGCTGGCCAAACCTATTCCTTCAGCGCTTCGAGTAGACCTGCCTGCCCCTTTTGAGTAGGATTGTCAATAAGATCCTGCATGCTCAATTTATACCCATTTCGCTGATAGTAGCGGGATAACAGCAACGTGGTGACCAGATCGGCGCTACCGGCTCCGCCCCAGAACATGGACTGATCATCAACTGTCTTTTCGTCCTGTGTCTGAGTACCAGCGGCAGGTACGACAAGACTGACATCATCCCAGGCCTGCGAGACTATGGCCAGTGTGAGAGCACTCGGGGTAGACGTTGATGCTGTACCGTTTGTTGAAGCATCATCGACTGGATGGCTGGGATGATCGAAATCGGCCGTGACACTGCCAGCCGGCATTGTCTTATTCAGCGTTTCAGTGATTTCCTGGAGCGGCCGCTCCAGTGCCAATGGCATCGATTCGAGCACCGATTGGAAAAGACGCGCGATTGATTGTGCTCTCTCTTCGGGAATAGTGCGCTGCGAGTACCACACCTGTACCATGAGCTCCTTCATGGACGCCGACGGCGAGACTTGAAGCCACAGATCCGAAGCCTGGCCCACTCCGCCAATACCCTTGATCGTGCAATCGACATCTCCGAATCTGACCCCGGGCTCGAACGTCTGCATCGCTTCATCGTTCTGATACAGCAAAACGCTGCTGAACCGTGTCCACGCTGGCCAATCTGTGCAGGTCTGTATCATGTCACGGACACCGAGATGTTGATGCGGGATGGTGGCCACCGCCTGGGCCTGGATCTGCGCGACCAAGCCGCCCAGGCTAGCTTTGGTGTCGAGTCGAGCTCGGACCGGGATATAATTCATACAAAGACCGAGGACTTGGTCGACGTCGGGGAAGGAGGCGGGGTCTCGATTGGCGTGGCCGCTTCCGAACACGACATCTTGCTTGCCGGTGATGTGCGAGAGCACCAGCGCCCATGCAGCGTGGACGACGTTTGCGCAGGTCCCATGGGATGTCTTGATCATTGGAACCCGTATCAGAATCTCTTCGCTGCAGGGACTACCCGAGGTTGGTCGTCGCCCTTTGGGATGCGGCACAACGTATGCCATCGATGAACCTTTCAATGTCTGAGCCCAGAATTCCCTCGCCGCGGTTTTGTCCAGGGAACGAATATGAGAAACCCAGCTGTGGAAGCTCGGACCAGTTGCAACAGCCTCCTGCCTGTATATTGCCTCCAGATTTTTGAAGATGATGGGGAGTGAGATGGCATCGTAGACCGCGTGGTGGATCTGGAGATGCAGCTTATGGCATCTGTCTCCCCTGGCAAGTAGACGGAATCGGGGCAACCTATCCTCGAGCATCGTCTTCATCCCAACATAGTACCCACTTGTATCTTCGAATTCTTCCTCGTCGGTAGTGACTTGCACGCTTCCTCTTGGTGGAGATTTCAACACCACCTGTTGAAGAGTGGCCCCATGCTGTACGAATATCGTTCTCAAGAGATGATGCTGCCTTAGGACCACCTCACAAGCCTCGGTCATCTGTGCGAGATCGAGACCGGCTGCTCCGAATTCCATGACGAATCTGGGATTGAACCCTTGGCCATCCAACTCTGACACTGCAAGAAGGTCGGCCTGGGTGTCGGTCGCCTCCACCACACTCTCGATCTTTTCCATCTCGAAGCCATGCTGCATGAGGCAACTCCTCAGCTCGCTGCTGACAGCCGTAGCAGAGGAGGGCTTCGGCGGCCGTGGCATAAGACTGGCCCCTGCACGCCCAGTGCTGCCACCAGCAGATGCTACCGGGCGCATTGCCGCAGCGAGATCCGAGAGCACAGGCGTGTTAAATATATCTTCGACTGTCAATGCGAAGCCAGCTCGGCGTGCAGCGTTGACCAATCGCATCGCCCGGAGAGAACTCCCACCGAGACTGAAAAAATCATCCGTCGCCTGGACATCATGCAAAGGCAAAGCAAGAGTTCGGGCCCAAAGTTTGCGGAGCTCCGCCTGGGGGTCCTTGCCGTGTTTGATCTGCGACTCGCCATCGATGACTTGCTGCGGCGTCATCACTTGACTGGAAGCAACCCCAAGCCCAGAATAAGCACTTCGCTGTTCCGGTGAAAGGCTGCCACCTAGCGTGCGGAGTGCTTGCCGGTCGGTTTTGTTGGAGCTCGTAAGCGGTAGTCGGTTCAGGCGGATGAAGTACTGCGGTATCATGTAGGACGGAAGCTTGGAGGTTAGAGCTTGCCTGAGCATCAAGGCCTCTTGCGAAAAGGGTGATAAGAATTGACAGGGTGTCTCTGAAGCTCTGGATTCGTCGTTCGCATTCATGGCAGCAAAGAACATAGCTAGACATGCGTCCTGATCCTGATTATCCGGCCTGATGAGCTCCATCGCAATTTTCCAGCTGGGGTCGGATAGTTGCCGGAGATGATGCTCAATCTCCTCCAATTCGATCCTCTGGCCAGCGAGCTTAATCTGAGTTCCCTTACGGCCGCGCATCGTTACTGACCCGTCCGCCGTTTGCATTACCAGATCTCCTGTTTTGTACCATCGTTGCGACGACAGATCGAGTGATGGGAAGTCGCTGATCCATTTGGGTGGCGGGATGAAGGCTTCTCTAGTCTTCTCGGCGTTCTTCAGATAGCCTTGGGCGACCACAGGCCCCTGAACCAGAAGCTCCCCAAGACACCCGAGGGCCACCAGTCGGTCGTGGTCATTAGGGTCGACAACCCAATATCGACAACCAATCGGGTGCCCAATATTGAGATGATGTTTGCCGGAATCGGGTGACACACGACGAAGTGAGGTGGAGATGGTTGTCTCGCTGAGCCCGTAGCCATTGATCAGACGAATGTTGCTCCAACGGTCCACCATGTGCCGTGGAAGTTGTTCCCCAACGAGGCATAGTGTGTGCAAAGTCGGGATCTCGGCAGGACTCAGTAGGCTTGCTGTTGACGGTGGCAGTATCGCAAAATTGGCACGCGTTCGTTGTATCACGCCGCAAAGGTCATTGAGCCTCTCCGCTTCCTGGGGTATACAGACGCAGCCTCCGGACACCAAGGTCATAAAGACTTCGATCATGACCGCATCGAAGATGAAGTTCGAGAATTGCAAGGTCCTAGTCGCTGCCGACATGCCCGCAAACCCGCGTTGATGGTGCACACTCGTAGCAAAATTGGAGTGCGAAACCACGACGCCCTTAGGAATGCCGGTGCTGCCTGACGTATAGAGGACGAAGCAAGTATCCGACGGTTGAACCGCAACATGCCCAGGGCCGCCGCGGGGAAGATGTTGAATGCTTTCGGCATCCACCACCACAGCATTCTTGACCTGCACCTTGGCGTTGACTTTCTCACGCAAGGTGGTCGAGATGACAACGATAGACGCATCAACTTCGGTCAAGATGGCGTCGAGCCTTTGGGCAGGATGATCCGAGTCCATGCCGACCAGAGCTGCTCCAGCTTTAAGAATTGCCAACATGACGACGATAGCTGCGGCGGACTTCTCGCAGAAATATGGCACAATGGTTCCTGTCTTGACGCCATTCTTTCGAAGCAGAGCAGCCATTCGATCCGAGAGGTCGTCCAGCTGCTCGTGGTTGAGGTTGCAGTCCCAGGCACAAATAGCAGGCGCTGTCGGCGCCGTTTTAGCCACATCTCGCACCTGGTTCTGAATGCAGCATTCCACGGAGCTCGGGCTGTTTGTGTTCCATTCAAGGAGTAGTGACCTCTCATGACTGCTCATGGGATCCAAGTCGGCCAGCGGAGCAGTGCCTTCCAGGACGAGTTGGGTAATAGCATGCTTATATTGGTGCAGCAGGATCTCGATGTCTTCCCCTGAAATAATTCGGTTGTCGAACTGCATTTCGATCGACAACATCCCGTGGCGTTGAACTCTGCAATTCGTAACAAGCCTAGCTCCGTCGAATGAGATCTCAGACAGTCTCGTTTGCATGAGTTCCAGTATCTCTGGCGGCCCTGTTTGCTTGGTGGAGGCAGGATTTGGGTGAACAATCAAGACATTTCTGAACGAGTCGGACGTCGTTCCTAGGCTATCGCTTGCAGACGCTTCACGTTGATTCAATGCTTCTAGGGATGGTGTTGTTGCCTGAACGTCTTCCCGTACGGCTCCAAGAAGCGAGTCGCCGTTATCCAGCGTGGTCAGGTCCACAGCACATGGGACGATGGCTGCAATCGGCCCCGTCGTGCGAGCGATTCCGTCAATCGATTCATCACGGCGACTCACATGGATGCCGAAGCAGGCTTTCCCGTCCCCATTCAGTCTTGAGAGGCACAAAGCCCAGGCAGCAGGCAGAACGGCCATGGTTGTTCCAATATCATTGCCTGTATCAGTCCGTGGCAGTGGAATCGCCAACGATCTTGAGTCAGCAAGATCTGCATCGGGTGCGTCGTGGGGCACGATTGGGAACTGGGATGATGCTTCGTAGGACCATTGGGGCCGAGCCGACAAGATTCTCTGTGCATCGAGCGCGTCCTGACGGTGTGATAAACGACAAATATATGTGCCCAAGGATTGGAACGGGTGTGGCGGTTTGCCATGGTCTTCATAGACTTTGCTGATTGCAGTCATGATAAGCTCGAGGCTCCACGGATCGTAGATGGCCGGATGTAGTGAGAGGACCAGGTAGTTCTTGCCATCTGGCTCATTAACCTCGCCAAATCGACACATTGGCCCACCGTAGCGGATGTGGAAGTTCCTATCCCAAGAAAGATAATCCGAGAGGGAAGTCTCGGAATTCCACGACGGCGTGGTTTTCACAGTGACTTGGAAAGTACTGCCCTGCTTCAAGGACACAAATCGGGTCCGCAGCGAAGGGCTGGACGTTGCCACGATATCGATTGCGTCGCAAAGCCTGGTTGTTGATACATGTTCTGGTACTCGGAAGACGTACTGATCCATGCAACCGCCGCTCTTCCGCTGGACAGAGGCCAGGATCTGATGCTGTTGCGAAGGAGTGCAGGGATATATGTCTTCGATTGAGCTGGTTGGCAGCTCAATCGAAGAAGCTGCTTCGCGATATATGCTTTTTGCAACATCCCGAGCGCAAAAGATGGCGGTCGGTTGGTTGATTGATGACTCGAGCGCCTGGATTGACTGATCTGGGTCACCAAGGATCTTCTTGGCCACGGTTGCAAACAAGCCCCCGGCGTGTTCCGCCAACGACCTGGAAACCCTGGATACATCGTAGTACAGCCTGGCACCGATAGTGTTGTTATCATAACCGACACCCAACAATAGAACATTCTACGGTGCAACGTGTTAGCATGTACGCGGGCACTGGGAATGAACAACAGAACGTACCTCAGTATAGATTTCTTCGGGCTGCACGTGCTGAACCTGGATGCCATCCGGTGCCGCAGGCGTCTCTGGAGCCATACGGACGATTGTCACAGCCGTATCGAAACGTGATGATTGCCCAAGACCGACAGCCTCGTCGAGTTCGGCCATGGCGAAATTGGGAAGCTCCAGAGCATGTACTGAGTCTTCTCTTGCCCGCTGAAGCAATTCCAACAGCGTTGTCCCGGGATCCAGATGGAAACAGCAGGTGATATTCGCCAGGAGCGGGCCCAGCGTCGTTTCATCACCCTCGATGGCTCCAACTGCGGACTGGGCACAACCAAAAGTTATCACGGACCGCGACCCAGTAAGCTCACGGACCACCATTCCCCATGCAACTTGCACCAAGTTTGCCACTGTCACGCCGTGTCGGCCACAGAATGGTTGGAGCAGAGAGAGCTGGTTGATCGATACATCGACGTATGGTGGCAGAGTCTTGTCAAGAAGACTTGACTCGGAGCTGTCCAGAGCGGGGATGGAGCACGGTCGAGCGCCGGACAAGTATGCTTTCCAGTAGTCTCTCGCTTTCAACGAATGATTTTGTACCCAGCTAATATATCGGCTCAAGCTGGGCCCTTTGCGTATGCTACCCAAGTCGGAATAGGCCTGGCGAAGCTGCTCACCAATGAGCTGGATCGATCTGTAATCGTAAAGAGCGTGGCTCACGTAGAAGATAGCGTAAATGACAGAGCTAGACGCTCGGGCGAGATGTAGTTGATGTGGTGGTTGCGCTGCAGCAAACTGCGGTTCTCCCATGGTGTTCCGAATCGCATTCAGTTTGGCCTGCGGATCAACCGTCGTATGAGAAATATGGGGGTCTGTGTTTTTCAGGATGATTTGCTGGAAGGCGCCTACGCTCGATCGAGAGCTCGTAAAGACCGTCCGGAGTATAGGTTGAGCCACACAGACGGCTTTCCAGGCCGCTTCGACCTGGTCAACATCGACATGACCGGTGTCATCTTTGACTGTAATTTTCATGGGCCAATAGTCAAAGTATTGGCGCGCCTGACCTTTCAATTGAGCGAAAAGTATACCCTCTTGTACCGGTGCACAAGGCAACACCAACTCCACATTAGATGGATCAATGCCGATAGACTGGAGCTGCTCCTCTATGCTGTCTCGCTCGTCGTCAGATTGAAGACCGAGCAGGGGAGAGAGTGGGAGTCGTGGTAAGACCACACTTTCGGGCGAATGACTGGAAGAGCTGGGTGTCGAACCACTTTCAGTAACGGCCTTGGCGAGAGGTTGAATCTGTGGAGGAGCCGAGACGGATGTCATGCGAGCAGTAATCCGCTGGACCAAAGTTTTCAAATTAGGGGCAGCAGTAATGTCTTTGAGCGCCATGTCAACGTTCAATTGCCGTCGAATCCAATTCCGAAGCTCCAGGGAGAACAGGCTATCGAGTCCGTAGTCAAGTAAACTCCTGTCGGGCGTAATCTCGTCCCTGTCGATCCTCGTAATCGACGATACCTTGTCGCCCAAGGCCTCTAAAAGTAGCTCCGGAGACGCATTCTGTAGATGACCTTGGAGCTTCTTGCTTTCGTTGGAAGAAGGATCGACACCGCCGGCTCTATTTCGTAGACGCCCTATCACAGACAATGGGCTTATGTGCTCCCACGGCAAGTCGTCGGCCTCCGTCTTCGACGCGAGCGTGCAAGACAGGCTTCTTCCATGGGCATTGAGTCCAGAAGATGGCCCAATGATGGCCCCATGGATCAGAGTGAAAAGTTGATCTTCGTTTATGCTGGCGCCCACGGTGCCTTGCAAGTGTTGGACGATGCCGCGATCGAAGGCAATACCGACACCCTCGACAAGGGGCAGGCTGACGGTAACAGCAGGCAGTCCCAACCGGATTCGGTATTCTGAGAATGCGTCGAGAAACGTCTAAGACTACCGTTAGCCGCGTTCATATGAGCAATTTCACAATAACCTCGTGGCGAGCAGAGTAAACGGGACCGTGATCGACAGCCAACTCGGCTGGCATCCGAGACGTCGAATGCCAGGGCGTCTCACTTGAAGTGTCCCAACCACAACAATACTGTGCTCGGGACGACAAGATGACTTACCGAAGTTCCTCCATAGAGAGACTGCCCAGCTCGGCCACCGACGCCTAACATGGAGCCCAGAGATACGAAGAAATCGAGATCTGGCAAGAGCTCATGTAGATGCCACGCTGCCTCAACCTTGGGCCCCATGGTTCGCTGCCAGTCTTCGAAGGTAGAGTTGGCAAGGATCCTATCCTACAAGATGGTCAGTACTGGGAATGTGGTCCAAAGCATGGTGCTTGCCTTACCCGTAATTCGAGAGCCCCGTGAACCACACCTCGTACTTGTGGAAGATCTGCTAACGCTTCCACGGCGCGAACCATGTCAGGGCGAGAGCTGACGTCACAGGCGAGAGCTCGGATGCAGATATCAGTACCCTCGTATCGTTTCAGCAGATTGGCCACATTTGGGTTAGAATCGCCGCTGCGTCCTAGCAGAGCCACGTTCCGGGCCCCTTTCTTGATCATCCAGGATGCCAATGCGCGACCAATCCCTCCAGTGCCACCGGTGATCAGGTATGTGGCATCTGGATGTAGCAGACCTTCCGAGCTTAGCCTCCGCAGCGAAGGGCGCTCTACCATGACACTTTCATCTTCCACCGTCGCAACAATCTTGCCAATGTTTGTACCGGACTGTAGCTTTCGCAGACCACTTTTGACTTGGGAGATCGAGACGCTGGTCAGGGGACGAACAGGCATGATTTCTTGGCCTTCAAGCATGCGGACGATAGTTGATAACCATTCCTTCACGGCCTTAGGTCGTGCGGCGGCAAACTTCCGTAGATCGATAGCGCTGAAAGTGATGTTTTTGTCGAAATTTCTCATGGGCAGGTACTTGTTCTCGAGAAGGTCCTTTTTGCCAATCTCGACGAATATACCATTTTCGGCAATCAAATCCCAAGTGTCCTGGAGTAGAGGGCCGCTCAGTGAATTAACGGCGAGATCAACCCCGTGCCCATCGGTTGCCTGTAGGATCCTGTGTTTGAAGTCGGAATTCCGACTCGAGAATATGTGAGCGGTCGCGATGCCATAGGTTTTCGCAACGAATTCTCTTTTCTCGGTCGAGCCTGCGGTGGCAAATATCCGGGCGCCGATTTGTTGAGCAATCATGATGCAGGCCTGTCCAACTGCTCCCGACGCGCTATGGATAAGCACAGTTTGGCCTTTGCGGAGACGGCCAATCTCGATGATACTCATAATCGCCGTGCTGAAGGCAATTGGCAAGGAGGCCGCGTCAACCATGGCCAGACCGTCGGGTATTCTATGGGCACGCACGCTGGACATCCGTACGAAGTTGGCCATGCCGCCTTCGTTGACGACGTAGAAGACGCGGTCGCCGACGTGCAGGTCGTTCACGCGGGTTCCAACTTGGGCCACCACGCCTGCGCCCTCAAAACCGAGAGCATGCCATGGCAAGGATCCGAGGACCAGCAGTAGATCTCTGAAGTTGATACCAACTGCCGCAACGCGGACAATGACTTCGTCGGCGCCCAGCTCTGTGCTCAGGATGTCACTGGCGCGGAGATATAACGAATCCGGACTGCCGACCGCGTCCAAAGTCATCTCGATAGCATCCTCGGCGTGGCGGATGTTCTGTTCCCTCATCACTGTTCCGCCCGCTTCGGCTGCAAACACCTCCTTCGCGGTTTCGACAATTCCCAGTCGAGGCACATGAAGTACATCATCCACGAGAACATATTCCTGCTCGCCGTGGATCGTAGAATTTACCTCCTGCATCATATTCTTCACGAGTCGCGCAATCGCTTCAGAGCCACGTGCATTGCAAGGAGCTTCGAGCAGGACGAATCTGCTGGTGCTGATTTCGAGGCGCAGAGAACGCAATATGCCTCTGATTATGGACGCGTCAGGGTGAGACTGGTCTGGCAAAACCCAGAGCAGACTAGGAGTGTGCAGGAGGAGGTTTTTAATGGCGTGGAACATGGCCGATGATAGATCACTCAGCATGCTGTGTTGATGGCTGTCCAGGATGACGCAGATCGAGGTCTGCTTGTCGTGGTGATCCCGGACAAGATGCTTGACGGACGTTGTACAGTCAAGCTTATGGGCCAGATCATTAGAGACCATCTCTGCAAACCCGACGTCTTCTTGGGAAACGCAGTGATAGACAGAGATGTCGACTTTCTCGTTGCAAGTTCTTTCCGTGTCACATCTTGTCGACCACATTGCAGAGTGAAGGTGTTCTGGCCGCCCTGGATAATCATCCACAAAACCCTCCACCCCAGTGAAGCCAGTTGAGCGGAGTAGATCGCTCCACAGCTCCTTGTTGAAGAACGGTCCATCGGACGTCGAGCGGTAGGAGTCCTCCGACAGCCACCATCCTTCAAGTAAGGCGAACGGCAGCACATGGGGCTGTGGAGTTTCAACCACGCCCTCGACAAGGATAAGCTTCCCATGGGGTTTCAGCACCGCTCGCACATACTTCAGAGTCTCGACCATGTCGGGCGTAGCATGGAGCACGTTGCTGGCTAGCACGACATCGTATGACTCTGCAGCAAATCCTTGTGAAAGAGGATTCTGGCTGATATCCAATTTACTGTAACTCAGCTGCCCGGACCATTGAGACAGTTTCGTCCGGGCGTTGTCGAAGAATGAGGCGCTGATGTCGGTGAAAGTATACTGATAGGAAGACAGCAGTCCTTCTGTTGCCCTTTGAATACCCTCAAGGACAGGTAGCGTGGCACTTGCCGTCCCTCCACCAATCTCCAAGATCCTGAGATCGGGATTACATGCTGCCAATAGTGCGATATAATTTGCTGCCGCTTGATTTAAGCGAGAGGTTGAGTATTGTTCATAGGCACGCTGGAGTAAGCCATCCTCAAGCATGATACTCATCGGAAGCTGTTCCCCCCTGATGATCTGGGGGAGCTGTGCGCCGACTGCACAAACCATCTTCCCGGTGTCAGACGATGACGAGACCTTGGCCAATAATGCTGCAGCATCGGTGGTTGCATGTTGTGATGCCTTGATAGCCCTTCTGGCCCAGGCGAGGAACTTGGCGTAATGTACAGGCACATTCGATGTGTCGTCGTCCGTAATCTCCTGGAACATGCGGGACAGGAAATGTACAGCAGCACGGTCCAAATCATGCCGCTTGCTCAGTTCATCTTGGGTCGCCGGATTACCCTGAACCATCTCGGAGAGGGCGCGTGTGTCCATGAGATTCGTGTACGGCACATGCTTGAAGGTATAGCTCTCCGGCAATTGCAAACCAATTGCATTCCCTCGCTCAATGCCTTGCAGCCTGAGGGGGCCAATCTCGGCGACAGGCTTCGGAGGCAAAGAATCTGTCGACATCTCAAACAAAACGAGCCGCACCTGCGCCTCTGACTTCTCGGGACGACCCACGAGCGTGGAAACAACCTTGAATTCCCGCCCGGCATCCGCAGCGATACGGTTTGATATTCGGAACTGAAGGCAGAATGAAGGCACCATAGTAGGCCCCGGTCTGTCACTCCCCAACATGGGGCCGAAAGCGTGACAGATGCTGTCTAGCAGAGGTGGATCCACGGTCACCGGGGACGCTTCTGGGTGCGCATGAGGGTCGGGGTCTAGGCGGCCTAATACCAAGGTCGAAACGGTGGCAGCTGAGTCTCGCCAAAGACCAGTCATGAGCCGGAAGGATGGGCCGTAAACGACTCCCCGATTCGCTTTCAATGCAGCGTACTCACCTTGCGCATCAAGCTCCTGAAGTGTCTTGCGATTGAGTATCTGCAGCGCAGATTGGACGTGTGGGCTTTCGGCGAGGGATTCGTGGCTATGATCTGCCTCAATCAGACCATATGCATGTTGCGTCCATTGGTGGGAGTTGGACCAGGACAGAATGTCGACGAACCAGGCTGTGGGCGAAACAGTTGCTGAGCCCGTTGGGGCAGGACGAAGTTTGGTGGTCAAGTCGACGCGTTCGTCCTCCTCAATCACCAGGCTAGCTTTAACATGAAACTCTTTGATGAGCACGGCCGGTGCCACGTCGGTGGTAAGCGACCTCAAGGCCTCAATGGCTAAAGATACGAAACCAGTGAAGGGAAAAAGGACATCGCCATTGATGAAATGGTCCCGAATCCAGGGCAGGTCGTCCAGGGTGAAGACGTTTCTAAAGACATGTTCATTTCCTTCGCTGTAGGGACTCCTTGAACCGAGGAGGCGTTGGTATGGGCCCCCTTGGTGAAGCCAATTGGTCGCCATTCGAGTCTGTAGGATGTATCGGTCGGCCTTATTCCATGCGTAGGCCGGGAGATCGTCGATGATTTGCACCCCAGATGATCTGGTCTCGTTGACAGCGGCGAGGTTGATGTCCAATCCTCCCTCAAACAAAGAGGCGGCCAATTTCAGTAGTGACGTCGTGGCTACCATGGTACGCATGAGCGTAGGGACATACTTCACGTGCTCCGCTTGATTCTGACCACCGCTGGCGATCCATTCCAATGTTTGTTTTGTAGCACTTTGGAGTGCTGGATGTGGACCAATCTCAATCCTTTGAATTCAATCAGCACTGTTGGTCCTTGTAGATCCAGTCGGTATGTTGTCGACTTACATGATATCCGGTCCCTGGCCGTTTCCATCAATACTCCCACGGCTCGAGTATAGTGTCTCCACAGCTTGCAGGTACTGCACTGGTTGGACTAGGTTCTTGACCCAATACGATGCAAGAGTTGGATCAGCAGTCTCTCCCGTTCTTGTGACTGACGATATGAATCGTGGCGTCGTCGGTTGCTGGTCGGTTGGTTTTGATTTGGCAGAGCAGTGCGGCGTGATAGATGCCAGATATGAATCTGCCGCTCTTTCCATGTGGCGCGAATGATAAGCTACTGTAACTTTTAGCCTCCGCACGAAAAGCCCCTGCTGCTCTGCCTGTTGGTGAACACGCTGGATGGTATCCACATCTCCGGATATTGTCACACTGTTAGGACTGTTGACCGCTGCAACAACTGCATAGCCTTTGGAACCTTGCAACAGCTTCCGTGCTTCCTGGGCACTCGTCCCGACGGCCAACATGGCTCCGTCTACACCTTGATCAGCAGCAATCTCCTTGGCAGCGATGCCCCGGAAATAGGCAATCGCAATTGCAGCTTCGAATGAAACAAGGCCAGCAGTGAAGGCTGCTGCAATCTCCCCGCTGGAATGCCCGAGGACAGCTGCAGGAAATATGCCCCATGACTTAAGCAGAATAACAAGGGCAAGCTGTATTGCAGTACATGCCGGTTGACTGATTTCGGGATCATCGATCCGGGACTCGAGCTTGTCCCTATTGAGTTCTTCGCTCAGGGACCACGTAGCTCCCAGAGTCACAAGAAGCTGTTCGGCCGCCTGAATTGCTTCCGCGAATTGCTCGTATTTCTGTAGACCGGCGCCCATTCGGAAGGTTTGTGCACCTTGTCCGGTGAAAATAAATGCAACTACAGGGTCTTCCGTCTTCCCTGGTCTGGTACTTTTGGCCACCGACTGCAGCTGATCCTTCAACAATCTTGTAGACTCTGCCACCAAGGCGACACGGTGAGCGAAATGCGTTCTTCGCTGCCCAAGAGTATAGGCAAGGTTTTTAGCAAATCCAGCCGACGTTGGTTTCCCTGCCAAGTAGTCTGCAAAGGAAGATTGGTATGCCTCAAGACTATTCCGAGATTGCGCAGAGAAGACATATAAATGCTCCGCCACGCCGTTGTTGGCATGACCACTAGGCGTCATCATGTTGTTGAAACCTGCCAGTGTGTCAACATGAGTTTCGATCATCTTCTTTAGCCGAACGCCTTTGATACCAGGGTAGACATCGTTACCGTTCACTGCACCCTCGATGCCGTTCGTTCTAATGCCGTTTCCGTTGGTCATCACGCGATGCTCCTCGGAGAGCTCCCTTGACCCCTGTTCGAGCAGGATCGCTGCATTGCTTCCACCGAAGCCTGACTCTTATTAGCGGTAATCATAAGGTACTCAAGAAGGTCCTTTTTGGGAATAGTAAACTCACCAAAATTGGTAACACAGACTCTCTTCCGTGCCCCAGACGGCCAGGGCATCGAATTAGCCAATACCTGACCCAGTTATTCACGATCCCCCAAACATCGGACTTTAGACGCTTCCATTGCCTTACCTTTAATCGATCATGACCCTCGATTTCGGGGTTCATCTCCAAAAAGTCAGCATTAGGCAGCATGATCCCGCGCTCCAGCATCATGATGCATTTGATGATTGAGATCAAACCGCTAGCACCTTCGAGATGGCTGCACGCACAATATCAGCGTCCAAGCAGCAGACTGAAGAAAAGTAGGCAATCCGGGGGAAACTGACCCGAAATTTGACTTCACCGCCCCGATATATACGGGATTGGAGGGCGATCTGTGACGTCCGACTACTGATGCAATAGCACCGGCATCGATTGGATCCCTAGCCAGTCAGCATCGTGTATTCGGCGAGACACCGAAGGCCACTCCAAAGAAAGCTCACCCAACAGGGGTTCCAGTACCATGGGCCTGTGTCGAGGATTAGCTTGCTGTTCAACCCTTTGTGAACATCGGCACAAATATCTTTGATATCTTGATTCTTACCTCCACAAATGCAGTCTCATCGGGATCCATTCCAACATCGCGATGTAAATTGAACAGAAGCTCTTCTTGACTACTACGGGAAGGCATCGAAATACCTTGTGTAGCTCCTGAATGGTTGCAGACGGTATTACGAATGATGGCTTGGATCGAATCACCACAAGCGAGCGCGTCTGAAAGTCGCTTGATGATCAAACAGGCAGCCCCCTCGCCTTTTCCGAAGCCAGACGCCCTACTATCAAAGGCAAAACTCCTACCTTCCGGTGAAGTTGCACTACATGGAAGGTCAGTCTATAACGGGCCTCTTCTGCAATTAGCGGGCTCGCGACGAGCAGAATGATTGGGACACTCAGACTCGGGTGCCCAGACGTTCGACACCTCGGATGCAATCCAGTCTAGTTGCTGATCACGGACATCGTGTCCCATGTATTCTGCTTACCGCGAGCGAGGATAGATGAAAATGAACATACCCCAGCTGATCAAGCCCTGTCCACCCAAACGGGCCGATGAGTAGCTTCGAGCCTCCGACAAAGGCCGCAGAACAGTCTCCAGCCAGAATACTTTGACACGCGAGATGCAGTGCGTAGGTACTGGAAGAGCAGGCCGCGTCTACAGCAACGCTTGGTCCAGTGAGACCAAAGAAATGAGACAAGCGGTTGGCGAACATGGATTGCGAAGATCCAAAAGCGGCGTACTTTGATGAGTTCATCAAGTCCTTTGCGATCGCAATGGCGTGGTCTGGATCGGTACCAGATGCAAAAACTCCCGTGTTGGAGCCCAGGAGATCCGAAAGTGGAATACCAGCGCTCTCTGCAGCCTCAAAGGCACATTCAAGTAGGCACCGCTGCTGGGGATCCATGAACTTTGCTTCCTCGGCACTGATCTTGAAGAAAGATGGATCGAAAGCGTACGGATCGTCTGGCAGAAAGTGACCCCCCTTGGACGAGATGAAGCCCGCTTTCTCCGCGTTTGGATGATAATAGGCATCATGGTTGAATCGGTTAGAGGGTACCGGCGACCATGCGAGTTTTCCTTGCTCCAAAAACTCCCAAAGACCCTTCCGACCAACATCGGGTGCCCGATAAGCATAGCCAACGATAGCTAGAGGCTGTCGCTGCGACATGAAGTCTTCTGCCTGGTGGTGCTGCGCTACCTTGGGAAGCGTGATTGTGGCTATGACGGTCGAACGTTAGCAGTCCGACTCTTGACGTAGGTATAAGCAAGAATGGCAGGACGAAGTAGTGTTGCACTACTTCTTGTGTATTCAAGTATGAGCCTCCCTAAGACTGTTTTCCGGCTTGTTCACCGCTTTATCTAGGGTAGATACTCTTATTAGCTGCTAACGTATATTAGCGTACTCCGTACTCAGCTTATCACGTACATAACTGCCCCCCTGCTACGAGACTAACCAAACAAATGCCTTATGTTCTAGGTGGGAATCCTTTCGCTGCGCCGCCAACGCACGGCTCGGGGCTAAACTCCTGGGTGTCTTGAATCAGTCAGACCTGGGTCCAGGGTGAGCTGTGGAGACAACCTTTCCATATCAGATCGGCCTATGGTTGGCTGCTTCGTTGAGTTCAGCTAGCGTGGGCTAGGGTTAGGGTTCCTCCCGGCTGACATGTGGTGCGGAGGCAATTATTGCCCCACCTTTGCTGCACGGGAAAATGCGAGTGGAGACGCTGATAAATAGAGTCTCCGAGCCGCAAGCCGGTAGAGAAGAGGCCGTTGATCGCGGCCTAACTCCCGCTCCGCCAAGTTCCGTATCCCCTTATGTAAAGGCGAAAGGTTCGTGCTGTGAACGGGAGTCTAGCCTCGTGGTTGACAGGAAGGCTGAAACACTGAATCAGATCGAGCGCGCACAGAGTACGTACGGAGGATGGCCAGATGTCAATGCAAGAGCAGGGCATGCAAGAAATGCCTCCCGATGCCGGCTGTGCGGCATTCTCTTGTATTTTATATGCACACAGCAGATATCCACTGCTCTCGATTTCTTGTCCCACCATCTCCTGCCTCCTGTTGCTGCCTCTTCGTCGAAAAACATGCTCAAGAGTTATTCTCCCCGAGCAGCAGCGTGGACAGCTCCGGAGATCAACATGGCTGCAGATGCAAGCTTTAACTTCTGGCAGGGCAAGATTTGTACACCCCTGGCGATACTCTTGCGTAAAGCTGGCTACAACTTGGAAACGCAGTATGCCCACATGCGATTCTTTCTGGACTGCACCGTTCCGGCTTTGGGGCCTGCGTGCTCGCCCCCCGGCAGTGTTCTACCCTGGCAAAGCTTTATGACAGACGACCACACTCCTGTCGAGCTCAGCTGGGAATGGGGTCATACTGGCGAAGACCCGCGCATACGGTATGCCTTGGAACCGATCGGGTTCTCCGCAGGCGGCTGTCTGGACCCGTTGAATCTGCAGGCATCGCGAAATCTCATCAAAGAGCTCCAGCACACCGTTCCAAATCTCAATCTTCGCTGGTACAACCACTGCGCGGAACGACTTCTACCAAACAATCATGCCCCGGACTCGCAACATGCGGCTTTGCTGGGGAAGTCCCTTGCAGAGACCTCATCATCTTCTTTCATAGCCTACGACTTGAGGAGGAAAGGGCCCATGACAGTCAAAGCATATTTTCTCCCTTCCGTCCGGGCAACCCATTCCAAAGTGTCGAACTTCGACCTCATTGTCCAAGCAATCCGCAGCCTTCCAGAAGCTCGAGCCGGGGCATTCCAAGCTCTAGAGTTGCTGACGGAATTCACCCAGAAAGATCCTCTTGGCTCAGCACTGGAATGCGACATACTTGGTATCGACTGCGTGCCTGAGGAGTACGCGCGCCTCAAAATTTACCTGCGTTCCAGATGCACAAGTTTCGACTCGGTCAGATCGATCATGACCCTCGGCGGTCGCATCCAGAGCCCAGAAAACGAGCGAGCCTTCCGCGATCTTTTCGAACTTTGGCAGGCACTCTTCTTCCCTGGCAAGCAACAAGTCACAAGTACTGGCGGAGACTTACAGCCATGCGCCCATCGCACGGCTGGCGTTCTTTACTACTTCGACTTTTCCAAAACCAAACCAAAGCCGGTGCCGAAAGTGTACCTGCCCGTGCGCCATTACGGGAAGTCGGATTATCTGATCGCGACAGCGTTGTGTACGTATATGAAGCGAAGAGACAAGCAGCAAGAGGCGCGTCAGTATCTGTCAGCACTTGAAGAGATCTTGTAAGTCTCCCATTCTCTCGCGCCTCCCGAGCCAACAGTGGACCACCATCGCTGACATTGTTTCCAGCACCAGTCGTGAACTCGAGAACAGCCTGGGCGCTCAGACGTATATAGCCTGCGCTATCAAAGGCGGCCAGCTCATGATCACGTCGTATATCAATCCCAAGATATACAGCAAGCCGACTACAGGGAATTGATGTCGACTTATGTCACGCCGAATGCAATGCATTTTGCGACAACGACTATACAAAGTCTGCTGCAAAATACAATGCAAAATTGGATGGCTTCGAAAGAGGCGTCACCTACACTCTGACTAAACATGCCTTTTCTGTCTGTTGCGATACACAGTGTAACAGCCCCTGCCACATAGCACGGAACAAGCCGTAGGTGATAAGCCGGGTCTCAAGGTCATCCGAATACCCGAGACATCAGGGCTACACCCTATTAGATAGCATAGAGAGATGAAGGTCGCCGCCTTCATCCCCTCTTTGAACAAGAAGCAATTACACAATGATCATAGGACTACTATAGTAGGCGTGACCGTGTAAGCATCGCCTGGTAAAGCGACACTGTCAATTCGTATTTAGATCAAGCTCAATCTTGTAAAGCGGTCGTGGCACGCCGTACAACTGGGCATCTTCAGATGGACTTCATCGTCTAGGTGGATCCTTTTTTTCGAATCACATGGGTCAATCAATAATTCGACCTGGCTATAGAGACAACCGCAACATAAGCAGTATTGGCTTTAGTTTCAAAGCATGCAAACTCTGCTATTGCTTGAATGGTTTAGTCGAGTGTGGTGCAAACAGGAAATCCGGGCAGCAAGCCTTATCCGGCGTCAGATTCCCGCTGCTTGTCTGTGAGTACCGGGTAGGAATTTTTTAACGGCGAGACTTTATCATCACAGCGGTCATCATCAACCAACGGATTGAGACATGCTGAGATCGTACACATAAAGGCTGGCCTTCTTTCTATGAGCGATCGGTTTTGCGAACGCCTGACTGATGGACCGCCAACCGAACTGTATCCAGGCTTTGTGCAAGCTCGCGTATCGATTTCAGGCATGGTATGGGCTGTTCCAAAGAAGGCCAGGGCGGGCGACGTAGCGAGCGTATGCGCTTTTGCTGGTGAGACCGTACACGGATAATCTAGAACTGCCCGCGTTGCAGCTTCCAAGCTATCTTTCTGACACGCAGCCCAAGACCGAATGGCAATATCCCTGCGACCAAAGCATTCTGCTCTTCTCGCCTTCTTGTGAGAACTGTGGAGCTGATCAAGCGGGTACAAGACTCCTAACCAATAATCTTGTGGAGTATTCGCGAAGAAGACGTCCCAGAAGTGCTCCGGTTGAACCGTTTGGTAATGTCGCCCGCGAGGAGACTTGGGCCCCGATCACGTGATCTAATTGGAGGATATATGTCAAATATGAGCAAGAGCAGCGAATGATGATTGGCTGAATGAGTTTGAACGTATATATAGGTGTAAATGTACGTATATTGGTGACCTTGAAGAGCTCTGGTGCAGGGTGTAAGTCTCTGCCGGATGTAACAGGGGCAGTGCACGTGATCTAACTACGTTGCTGACTAAGTACAACATTTGACAATATATTGGTCTCTAGCACATTGAAGAGCAGATGCCCCTACCTTGTTACAACGCAGCTGCGCTGCCAGCTGACGTGTCTATTCTATATGATTTAGTACATACTTACGTACATATACGCTGGGTCTATGTACGTAAGTAGCAAATGCCTCATTACAGCGGATTCAAGGCCTAGTGTCTAGACGTCCGGAGTAATAGCCTTAAATTCCTTTTTCTGCGCTGCATGGGCAGGGGCACACTCCTACTCATATCTACGGCGAATATTGCCCTGGCACAGAGCTAAGATACCTAGCTAGCCATAGACAAGTTATCGGAGCGCACACATATTTAGCTTAGCTTAATAAAGACAAAGGCACGAGCTAGATGTAATATAACCTATATTAAGAGCCCTAAAGTTCTATTATCCATCTCTTATCTGCCTCCTTACGGAGTATACTCCGTACTGGCCTAAACGCATCTTTTTACCATGGCCAAATCTCTAATTCCCCATACTAATTGGCCAGCCCAGCTAGAATAGTCAATTTACATCTCTTCATCTACGATGAAGCAGCCAAGTCATCTAGGATAAAGCAGGTTAGTGAAGGAGACTCTACATAATCAAGTCCTGGGTTGGCCGTATGCAAGGCGCGAAAGCGGGAACTAATATCGTATTTTACGTCAATCTGGGGCCGAGCAAGGGATGCAGCGGGAGATGGGTATCGAAGCCACCCCTCTCTTCGACAGGGCCATGGAGCATGGGTATATTGGAAAAGCAAAGACGATACCGACCTACCTACGTCGGAGGTGTTGATACGAGGCGCGGAGGTATGGCAAGTTACCGAACATATCACGCATGATTTGTTTACTCCGCATGCCACTCTATCCCAACTGGAGGCGTGCATGCGTTAGGCTGACTGCCTACTTGTCTCGCTTGATATCTACGCAGAACGTTCTTCTCAAACCTGGGGAACGGGGATAACGGCGTTGGGGGCATGGATAGTCCAGCCACCGCGGGACTACACGCTTTTTCGATGTCATCCTTGAGCTCCGTGCAGTCCACTCGTGACTGCTGCCAGCTACTATATTCCCTCACAGCTCTATCCAAGGGAATGTTGGGGATGATGATGGGATTGCCGTGCCATTAACGAATGCAGCTCCACTCATCGGCAAGATCCTGTCCGGGCCTAATATAGAGGCTTCCACCTCTTCGCCACGTTGGTTGACAATATCCTTATCGGCTTCACTCAGAGCCTTGATAGAATTCTCGAGGCGCTCATACAGTTGCGCATAGCATCCGAGGTTGTCATCGTATACCACAGGCTCCCGCCCGGACAACCTCGCAGGCGTCTTCTCTGTGACTTGGGTGGCGATATGGATCATAAACGCGCCATGGACGTTCTTCTAAAATTGTTCAAAGAGTTGTTAGTTCTTATCACAGAGCCACAAATCATATATTAATCGAGACAGCCCGCTTCATCTTTTGCTATGAGTATCTCGACTACGGCATGAGTTTAGCGATGTTTAGAAGACCAATTAGTTTTAAGAATAGCTAAGTCTAGTCATAGTAAATCAACCCTTGAACAGCACCATAAGAAAGGCTATCATCTATTAGGTAACGCCCAAATTGAAGAGAAAATAGGCAGACCGTCACTGCTAACGTTCAGATCATTATATCTTCTTTGCCTTTACCTTTTCCCCTCTTCGGCGCTTCAGGGCATCCGGAGTGTATTCGGTGTCAAGGAGGTAGTCCCACCAGCGGAAGCTGCTTGAGTAGTTCCCAATGAATTTCTCATGGTGGAGGTCGTGATGATCAGCACCAGCCCAGAAAGGCAAGAAATGGTGAAGACTGCAAGGAAATTCGTAGCCACTATGGGCATCGATAGCCTGGAACAAGCGCAATACAATCCAGATATACATAGTGAGAATATGCAGGTTACCGGTAAAAGCACACCAGAGGATCGGGCAGCTAACGGTCCCGAAGCCGAGAATCATCACTTCAATAGGAGAAGCATATTCGGCGGCCAAGCCAAATGGTGCAGAATACTGATGGTGAATTTTGTGAATAGCCTTATAGAGTGGACCCCAATGAAGAGCTCGGTGGAAAAAATAGTGCCAAGTGTCCTCCATCACGAAAAATATTGCAATCTGATATGTCATAGTCCAGGGAGACGGAAAAGGAATCGATGTTGATAGACCGCAGAACTGGGCCATTGGGTGGAAAAGCCTAGTAAGAGCCGTTACTACTCAATCGGGCCCGAGAGGCAAACGTCAGGTAGAATACCACTCCGTCGAGGGCAGGAACATACCAGATTTGAGGAAGTTCGACGGTGAAGTGGCTCAGAAGCACAAACTTGGCGCAATCCCATTGCTCGCGTAATGAAGGTACTTTGCTCTGAAGCAGAATGTTAGTTTCGATGGCGGGCTGGAATTGGGTTGATTTCGGCTAGTGCTGGCCCAGGTGGTTAGGCCTGCCACTTACACTTTGAATCTTGTATCTCTTGAAGAAACCCAAGCTATCGATGAAGGCCCACGGAAGAGAGCGGCCGAAGTAGAACAACTCGTGGACGGCGAAAGGACATGATGCCGGTGGCCAGGACATCATTCCGCATCCACGCATACCATGCGACCCACAATCTCTCTGCCACGCTCAGGTGGGTATTGGATTTGGTGATATCCTGATATTGGCCCCAATAGGTGCCGGGGGGCAGCACGGTAGAATTCCTAGGAGAAGAGTCAATATGCGAGTATAATTCAACCACCCGGGGGGGGAGACACAGACATTGTGGTTCCTAGCAGGTCTTGAATAGGAGAGAAGAAGCAGAGGCTGAGAGGAGAAGACTACTTATTTCGTGAAGAGGAGAGTAAAAAAAAAGAAAGGACGATGTGCACAGTATATTCCCCACTATTGAATCCTAACCCTGCTAACAGCCAACCACAGGCGGGCAAATGGCGCATTATCCGGTTCGGTGGGGCTCGGATGGCTATCGGCCCGTGTGTGGCCTGACTTTTGTGTTCCGGCTGCCGGCTTCCGGTCCCACCACTTCGGGAATGGCCACTTCGGGAATGGGGACTTTTCTAGTGTTTTCGAAGTCTACTGGACTGGTGCAAATAATATCTAGTGTAGACGGAGAGAAGCCATAGTTGATTGTCTATTAGCGTGCTACAGGCATCCATGGCTGACATGGCTAGTGCAGAGGTCAACAGGCTTTGTCTCTGGATTTTTCTATCCCGTCACGCTTCTGCTCTTCTCGCGAGCGCCTCGCGGTCCACCTCGCCTTCCGCATTGGTCGGCAGCGTCCCCAAGACAAAGATATCCTGAGGCACCAGGTGTAATGGAAGCTGGGTCTCCAGAGCCTCGTACAGCTGCTGTTGGATGGCCTGCTCGGCTTGTTGCTGCAGCGGCTGGTTGCTGAACGTACTCGCCGCTCGGCCCTGGTGATCTGTTGGAAAGCGAAACATGAGCCTGGCTCCGCTAGATGGCTGGTGACGGTGGAAGACCGCGTCGAGACCACCACGTTGGGAGTGTTGCCTCGCCCAGCTGATCTCGACTTCATAGCCTGCTTCCTTGGCGATATCTACCAAATCCACCGCCGCGAGTGAAGCGCAATCCTGGCTTTTTTGACGCGCAGACGAAATCCAATCGAGGGTGTTGTCCTCTGGTCCGCCGTTGAGGGAGTCGATGGCGTGCCGGTCAAAGACCGTTTTGCTATAACAGATGTTGCTCACCGCCACGATGCCGGGCGCCGAGGCCGAGGCCTGTAGACGGCGCAAAAGGCTTTGCCGGTCCAGTCCCGAGTCCACAAAGTCGAGCCACTCCTCGTCCTTGATTTCGTGGATCACCTGCTGCTGCTGCTGCCGCCCCTCTCCCATCTGTTTTCGATCTCTGACATGTATGATGGCCGCATACCGGTAGCGACTCAGTTCGTTGTTTGCTCTCATCTTCTTCGGGAGGATCTCAACGTGTTCGATGACATCGGGGAACTGATCCGGCAGGCTGGTAAAAAACCCTGGATCGACAAGTAGCTCTATTTCTGCCTGTGCCATTCCCATCATTGCTTCTCGAACATCGTCTTTACTTGCCCGTTCTCCTGATTTGTGGAATGCTTTACTGATCAAAAACTCTTGTTGAAGAGCATAGGAGCGGATGTCGCCCAGAAAAACCGTGCGGACGCTGCCAAGGCGTAGGATGCCTTCAACAACTTCAAGAAGGTAATCCCTGCTGGGGAAATACTGCGCCACCGAATTGATCACAACAACGCTGGGGGAGGCTGGCCCCAACAGATGGAGGTCGGTTGCTGTGCCTTGATGTACCCGCACCTTGTCCGCTAAGTAGGGGATCGAGCTTGCCGTCGCAGTCACGAAATCGACGGCCGTTTGTGATAGTTCCAGCCCGAGATAACACTGTAGGCTTTCGGCGATGCCCAAGAGAACCAACCCAGAACCCGTTCCTAGTTCCAGGACGTTGAGGGAATGGCTGCTGCCGCAACCGAGCAAAGTTTCAATCGTGTCGTCAAGCCATTCATTCATGTCCGAGTGATTTAATGGGGCTCCATCATATGCAGAAACCCAACCAGTAAAGTCTCGTGCGACGGCATTGGGCAGGAGATTTTGACCCATTGCGGTGCGGGCGCCTCTGTCGAAGGCAGTCTTCCAGAGCTGAATTTGCTGCGTTTCGTACTCGTTGTCGGATTGACGTTGATTTCCAATCTGGCTCTCAACGATGTTTTTGTGCATTGTGACGAAGGCAACAGCTTCGGCGTCCGCACCGTCTCGAAGCACGACGGCAGCATCATCAACCGACTCGTGTTTGCGCAGGATCTGTTCGACCGTGTCCAGACCAAGCTGTCCATCCGGCCTCTGGAAGGTACTTGCCATGGTGACTCTAGCCTACCGCTGTGCCCAATCGTTGATGTAGCTGCGCATACACAGCTCCAACGCAGTGCCGAAAGTCTTGCGAAACGACGTTCACAGCAAAGCACCTCGATTGAGTCGATCAACAGAGGTAAGGGGGGCCTGCGAATCCGGAGGGGAAGAGTGACCGCTCGATTAGTGGTTGTGATCAAGAGCGGTGTTCTCAACGCAAATTTTCATCCGCCATCTCCACGATCCAGCCTTGCTCTCTGGTCTCCTGTCGTCCCGATGACTTTCGGCGGGGAAGTGTTTCTCCCACGATTACGTGAAAACGCCGGCCAGAGATTAGGGCTGGGGTTGCCCTCTGTTCCAAGCGGGTCATTCACATGCATCGCTTCTGCACATCGCTGACTACTAATGACACCATTTGTAACTGCTCCATCCCAACGGTGGGCCTGCTACGCGTCACCAGATCATCAGTTCTGGCCTCATCACTCTAGAAAGACCTGGAGTCACGGTATGTGGGCTCCAGTGGTTCGAAACTAGAGCAAGGCTGCTGCCAGCTGGCAATCCGGGTGGCCCGGCGTCGACACCTCGGAGCGGCCGGCAGCCAAGTCACACCGCTAGACATACCTTGCTCGGAGTCTTAGACCAAGGATCGAGAACCTTGCTCGGAGTCTTAGACGAAGGATCGAGACATACCTTGCTCGGAGTTTTAGACACCGAAGATAAGGCTTTGCGCGGGTCGGGCCGGCTCCACACGTGTTGGCTTTCGTGCAACCGACACCAGTGGCTGAGAACTACATAGTACAGCCAGGCAGCTTACATTTCCGGTTTATATGGTCTTACCCCGCTGCTGCTACTGGCAGGAAAGCTACCTCTCTCTCATCTTCCTCGAGTATGGCGAACGTGTCGATGGGAGCTGTGCTCCTGCCTCTCGCCGGGTACATGCTACTGTGCCGCCTCCTGCGCCACCTTCGCGAGACCCTCATGTACTACCGTTACCCCTACAAGACCCGCGAGAGCTATGCCAAGATGACCGCTCACGACGCCTGGGCGATCCAGCGTGATGTTCTGACCCTGGAGTTCCCGTTTATAGGAGGGAAGGGTCTTCAATATGCGCTGTTCAAGTATTCTCTCCCGAAGGAATCGAGATCAGGCGCAAAGGCTGACGAGTGTCCTTCCGTACAGGACTTACGGCATCTCCACCATCAGCAAGCTTCTGATCGAGACGGGACAGCTTTCTACGCCCACAAAGGCTGCTAAGGTATGTTGGGCCCGAGTGATCCGTCCGAAGACCACAAGCTTATACGGCCGCTCGTAGCGCTACGCCGACACGGGCTGCCTCTTTACCGAGTGGATCGATAATGCGCCGGAGAGTGAACGCGCGAATGCCGCGTTCGCACGCTTGAATTTCCTTCACAGCCATTACCAGAAAGCGGGCAAGATCAGCAACGACGACATGCTGTACACCCTCGCTGTCTTGGCCTTGGAGCCGAAGCGCTGGATCGAGCAGTACGAATGGAGGAAGCTAAACGAGATGGAGCTTTGTGCTTGTAAGTTGGCCCAACCGCAACGATTACTGCGCACTTTTCGGGTCTTGCGAGTGGTCGTTAACGACGCTGTTTGGTTAGTCGGCACGTTCTGGAAATCCGCTGGCGATGCCATGGGCATTTCGTACGAATGCCTTCCGTCGTACAAATCCGGCTTCACAGACGGCCTGCATTGGCTCGACGAACTCGCAATCTGGGTCGAAGCGTTCGAGTCGCAGCACATGGTTCCGGATACCAATTGTAACCTAGTCGCCGACCACACTACGGATCTGCTCAACTATACCCTGCCGAAGCCATTGCATAACGCGGGCAAGAAATGTATCACCGTCCTCCTGGACGAACGGCTCCGGAAAGCGATGATGTACCCCCGCGCCCCCGCTCCCTACTATAAAGCCATCTCCACCATCCTCACCATCCGCAAAAACATCATCAAATACTGCATGCCCCCGCGCCCGGCCTTTCTCCGCTACACCTTCAAGAAAACAAATCCCAAAACCGGCCGGATCAATTTCACGCGCTTTGATGCTGAACCCTGGTACGTCGAGCCGACATTGCTGAATCGCTGGGGTCCAGCGGCCTGGGTACGGAGGCTGCAGGGTCTGCCGTTGCCTGGAAAGGGTTTCCAGCCCGAGGGGTATGTGACGAGGGACGTGGGACCTGAGCGATGGGTGGGCAAGGGCGGGGTGGAGTTTGAAGCGTCCATGGCGAAGTTGATGGCGGAAGGAAGAGGCGGGTGCCCTTTTGCGAAGCTGTGATGATTTCTATAACAGTCATTTCTAACCATACCTGATTCTGTAGCTGAGCAGGGTACAAGGATGTGGCACAGACTTATACTAAGTTACTAATAGCTATAGTCACAACTTAGAGGCCGCGTATATAGCTCTTGCTACACCAGCGATGGAAGCCTGCTAAGAAGCTAACAACCATGCTGTTGATCCACAGCCTCCGGCCTTGACAGCCAAACTTCCGTGTCTCACATTGGGGCATCCATGCTTGCACTAGCGTATGCCTTACGTATCACCAACGTGTATAGCAATAATAAGCCGAACCCGATTGATTAAAAATGCTGGCTCCGTAGCCAGACCTCGCGCTCCATACCCTCGTGGCTGCATTTGGTTGGTGAAAGGAAAGCCTCAGCTTCTGATGGATGAAATCCCGCAGGTATGAGACGGGGATCTTCAACGGCTCCAGCGGCTTCTCTTTCTGCGCCTCTGCAAGCTGACATGCTGAAGCAGCTGGCAGAAGGATCGTGTCACACGCACCGAGATGCTCGACCCCGGCCACGGATTGTACGTAACTAAACGTATATTAGTACGTACCTCTGGCCGGCGTCCCACTGCGCGAAGCCCATGAGTGATCGTTTCGATCTGGGTACAAACCTCTCGTCCGAGCAACGACTGCAGCATGGGGTCCGTCGAAGATACTACCGTCGATACCGTTCGCACGACCTTGGCCTTCCGACTTGATCCAGCCCTCGGTGGCTGTGACCATAACGAGGTCGGGAACCCGCAAATACCCAAACGAGACATCCGAGATGTGACTATTCACGAGATATCTGGTCGCGAGCAGCAGTTTACACATGACCAGGCAGGCTTCCAGTTCATGCATCACAAGTCTGAAGTTCTCGATCTCGATCTCCAAGACGACGAAGTCGTCTCTTCGAAGTACTACGAGGAGGTTTCCGGTCTCGTGAAGATCATGTCAGATTCTGGCTTGCGGTTCTTTTGAGCATAACGCTGATTCCAGTACAGGACGGGGGCTAGCTTTGCCCATTGCTACATGCACTTCCTTCGGGCCTCGAATTACGATAGTCGGCCAAAGACCGACAAATTCATCATTCCCCCAGCACATGCCGTCCATGTCGACTACAGTTATAACGACGCCCCGGAGTACATACGCACCTTGCCAGAGCGACCTCCAGACTGGGAACGTCTCTCTCGATTCCGATGGGCAATCTTCAGCTGCTGGCGACCGGTGAACAAAGTGACCCGTGATGCACTTTGCGTTGGAGACAAGAGGACTGTCCCAGACAGTGACTTGATAGATGGCAGTACTGATATGCCCGTGAATGGTCGGCAAAGGAGGACGGGTTTGTTTTCGGTCAACCACAACTCCGCGCACAGGTACTATTACAAGAAAGAGATGGGACCAGAGGACGTGCTTTGGATCAAACTTTACGACAGTAAGACTGATGGAAGAGCGAGGTGTTCGCCGCATTCGTAAGTTCATCTGGTCTCGATCTGCAAAGTCGATGCTGACGGGTCTGTTGCAGGGCGTTCAACGCGGCCAGTGACTATGGTGAGGCCAGACAGAGTATTGAGACCAGATGCATAGTTGTATGGGAGGGCGAACCGTTGCACTGAGAGCCCGGTGCCAGATGAAATTCTGCCTTTTGGAAGTCTCTCGCTTTTCAACACGAAGTTGCAAGGACCGTACACTGATAGTATCTAAAATATGCGCCGAGACAAATGCCGTCCCATCGACGGTGCTAAGGCTGCACTCTGGTATCTGACAGGGGTAGTAGCCAATAAAACTCGCAGTGTTCAATATAGGATTTCCTAGGCTAGCAATAAAAGATACATAAGACGAACCAAGTTATCTGGTGTAGGCACTGCCCTTCCCAAGCCCACTTCAAGCCACCCGTTTTATCAAGGGTCTTCGCATCAGCGAGTGGCTGGTAGATAAGTTGCTGACCCCCTGGGTCCCACGAAGTTTGGAGACGTTCTACTAAACAGAGACCCAAGTTATAGTGAGCGGCGTCCGACACTTCGAGCATTGAAATAGCACTGTGCCCGCCAACAACGGCCATCGGACGGACGTTTTCCAGGAGCAAGGAGGCAGAATCGGTCCTATCGTATTATCGATCCCGTCACCTCCAGACAGCAATGCTCGAGTGGTTTTTTGGCAAGTCATTTGATCCGGAAAAGGATATACCAAGCCTGGACGGTAAAGTCATTCTAGTAACTGGTGGTGCGTGCAAGCTTAATGATCCTGCTTGAGCTACACTAACGTCAAGTACAGGAAATGCTGGTCTGGGAAAGGAGACAATTTTGCAACTGGCAAAGCATCATCCGAAAGAAATCTTTCTCGCGGCGAGAACGCAGCTGAAAGCAGAAGATGCCATCCAGGAAATCAAGAAAGCTGTTCCCAAGAGCAACATCTCGTACATTAAACTGGACCTCACCTCGTTTACGTCTGTAACAGAGGCAGCAGAGGAGTTCAAGAGCCGCTCTGACCGGCTCGACATCTTGATCAACAATGCTGGTGATTATTCGTGCACTCGGTCTCAGGCGCAAGACTAATTCAGTTCACGTAGGCATCATGGCAGTACCGTACTCCAAGACCAAGGAGAACTACGAGATCCAGTTCGGCACGAATCATATGGGCCACGCACTACTGACCAAACTGCTACTCCCTACACTACTGTCAACCGCCGAGAAGCCAGGCTCTGATGTTCGCGTGATCAACCTAAGTTCTGAATGTCACTACTTTGCACCCAGCATCATCTACGATCAAGACCGACTGGAGTCGTATCACACATTCCGTCGCTATGGTCAATCCAAGCTGGCAAACATCCTCCACGCTCGCGAGTTACAGAGGAGATATCCATCAATCACGGCAACGGCTCTTCATCCAGGCGTGATATTGACAAACCTGTACACCCCACAAATACAAAGCAACGTTCTCGCCAAGTTCGGTTTGCCGCTCGCCAATCTGTTCTTCAAGGACGTACCGAACGGCGCGAAGAATCAGCTCTGGGCTGCTACTGGCCCGAGAGAAGAGGTCCGGCAGTCGTACTATTGGAAACCGGTGGGAATTGCTTCGAACGAAAGTATCTTCTATGCACGAAAAGCAGGCCTTGCGCGAGAGCTTTGGGATTGGACAGAGGAGCAACTCAAAAAGCACGAGTAGCGACCGCGAGTTCTTGCTTGGTGAAGCTAAAGGGGACTGACGTTCTGCAAGCATTGGTTGAGAGAGAGTTGTCACTTATCGCATGTTGGCTTGTAATATTGAATATTGATAGAAAAGAAGGAACCCATACAGATGGATCATCTTCGGACTAGACTTACAAGCCATCAGGTCAGGCATATGATTCTGATCACTTTCGATTGACATGTGCACATGTGTTTGATGGGTTATTGGGAGACACCCGCTCTTTGACTCCATCATGAAGGCCTGTTCTCATGCCGCGTAGCTAAATATACAGCAGCGCCTAAGCATTTACACATTTTGCATTTTCCCTGCGAGAAGTGCTTCTCCATGCCACGCGCGGGCGTGTAAGCGGGCGTGATATTCTCAAAGTCGTACTTAGCCAAAATCTGGCCGACATACCGTTTCTGGTGTATTTTTATGTCTCCGGGCTTTTGCTCCGCGTGCCCAAATACCATCGGTCATTTGAAAGGTTTCTCCGATCTGAGCCTTAGGCGAGGGGATTGTTTAAGGCCATAGATCGCTCGAAGTGCCCAGAAGCATATCGCGTGGAAGGTCAATACCCTTCGGGGCTTGCATATGCACGGGCTTCGGGAGAGTGCTTTTGAGAAAATGAGACTATTGTATGCGTTGTTTCTTTGAAAGACTAAAACTCTTAATTCCAGCAAACTGGCTGGTAAAATCCCATATACTTCACGAATCGTAATAGAGCAAAGACTGAATGCGACCACGGCCGTGCCGGGGGAAGACCTCGCAAAGAAGTAAGTATCCAACGGCTCAGTACTCCTGACAAGAATGGGCTAGGGGTTAAGGATTTAGGGCTAGATGGCCCGTACGGGTTGCCATTCTACCTTGAGAATTATGGAACGGTCATCCGTTGTACTCCAGGAGATGGCATCTTTGCACAACTCAGGGCTCTCGCAGAGGCATACAAAAGCTCTAGAGCAAGAACGAAGAGAATCAAGCTCGTCTTGCTGACCAATGAGTTCAATGAACAGCTCCGGAAATGGATTCAGTCTATCCTCGATGACGAAGATCTGCACACAAGTGTAAGACTTCAGGGGGGCAAAGCTCGTAAAAGTCAGGAATACGCTGACCGCGAGTGCTAGCTCCTTGACCTATGCATTTACGGACCGAACGCTATAACATCTTCCAAAATCAGCAGTCTTGGAAGGCGAGTAAATGTAGTCCATGACGTGCCAAATGTGAGGGGCTATCCGCAGTTAGAGCTGAGGCATCCGGAGACAGAGATGGCTGCATCTTGTGCTTACAAGACAGTGTCTGCATATTCACAGCTACGGCGTCAAGAGCGTCAAGAGATTCTTAGGATACAAATTGCGCTTCTTCGAGCTGGACTACCAGCTACCTGATGAAGATCGATATGATGGCGGCGTGGCCGCATAATGGTGATTCTGGTGAAAGGTTGATTGAGCTGTCTGTCTCACTGCTGGGTGCTCCCCTCCCGCTCCTTTATATATTCGAGTGGGTCTATAGTGGTCTGGAACCCCTCTCCGGCAATCTTCAACATACAAATGAGAGTATGGAGCGCGAGATGTAATTAGCAACTACAAGTCTAGTATGAGCATTGCAAAATGAAACTACTAGCGGCGAGAAGAAATGGCTCAAACCTTGGCAAAAGGAACTCCTCACGACATTGCGAAATTACCATAATGGAGCGCTTCTCAAGCTCTTCGCAGAGTTGAGCCCAATCGCTCTCGACTGGGACACATTCAAGTTTGGCAGACTGTGTGATATCATGCCGCTCCATTGCGAAGAAGTACGCTATATTGGAGACAATCAGAGACATGCTGATGCATCACTTAGGAGATCCTCAGTCACATGGACGCGGTCCATCAGCTCTGGACTGGCCTTTTAGAGGGAGAAGTCGCGATGACTTGTATTGATGCCGAGTCTGTTTGTCGCTTGCGAGTGAAGATGCCCGCCCTTTCGTCGCGCGACGCCGCCGACATCGTATAGTGGATGCGGATCGGAATTCTTTTTCCTGGAGTACGGGATGTTCGTGTTCGCAAAATGGTAGAGAAGCGACTCCTGAAATTCGATCGAATAATCACGCTGGATTCCTTCTTCCAAGATGCTGTGTATCTCAAAGCATGTTCCATGTCCCTCACGTCAAGAGCATGATTGTTCACAGAACCACGGATTGAACGACCAGCTGCCGGACGCCGAAACGCAAATTCGACACCGCGCTGAAGTTGCTGGGCCTTCGTTCAACACATTCCCCAACGTCAGGTCAGAACAAGTGGCTGGGCGGCATAGTCAGGGTACTTACTTGCCAGTGGCCCGTAGTCAAGGTCAAGTTTCAAGGCGGCGATACGCCCCTGCTTACCTCAGTTCTTCTGCTTAGCTAAGCACAACACAGGCCATAGTTTACATTCTTGGCGTATTACTCATCAAACACCCAAATAAAACTTTATAAACAGGATGCGGGAGAACTCCGTAATGCTTGCTTTAGTAGTCAGACTTTCTCCGCCGGAAACTTCACTGGATAGAACGAGACGACACGTTAATCTTTTCAACGGAGCCATGGCATAGTGTGCAGATCAAAGAAATCAAAAATAGTTGGAAAAACAAACGTTGATGCTGTTTGAAATTTTCGTAGACAAAGCCTCTAGACTTGAGCATTGTGACTGGGTGACGATATTCCATCTCTCCCAATAAGCTATTGGACTTTCCACCCTAGGGATGAAGAGGAGAAGAAGATTGAAAGGTCTGCTGATATCCGACTTGATTCACTGATGCTCAATTAATGAATTATATGACATGGCACTTGGCCCCATTTATCCCCTGTATGTTCATTCTCTTTGCCCTAGCTGCCTAATATGTAATGATGTCGAATCATGAAGAAGTCTATGATGAAATAATAAAAACACAAAAAAGTTAGGATCTCAACGCCCGGATCCCAATGAACCGCAACCGGCGAACCGCAATATTCAAACGATACAATAGCCAAAGACAAAAGAGACGATACCAATCCAACGACGAACCGGCAAGATAAACTAAGGAGAAAAAGTTAAAAGGATAATGATAAGGTCCTGCTGTGCTCTATTTGAGCAATGTAGATGTGATGTAGATGTGAATCTTTCCAAGTAAGGAATAAATAGATGAATGCAGGCAAGGAGAAGATAGGGTAGGGAGAAGAATTGAAGAAAGAGGAGTAAGAAATAGTAAAGCAAACCAGTTTAAAGCACCGTACCACAAAATACCAATATAATCACCAAGCAAAGACGAATGCAAATGCACGGAGTCAGAATAAATAAGTAGACAGTGTTGATGGCAGGAGTGGATATGAAGGGAAGTCAAGTTATGGGGGGCTCTACGGGAAGAGGGGGCGCATATGCACTGTCGCTTAAAGCGGCAAACGAGGCCAGGATAATGTATAGTGGTAGCGAGAGGGTGACGAGGAAGAAGGCCAAGAGGGAAAAGGCAGCGAGTGCCATCTGTGTGGGCATGGGTATGTGGATGTGAATGGGTATGGGTAGTATTGTAGGTATACCACAAGCATCCAACCACAAAAACCACCGCGAACCTGGGCAAGAAGACAAAACTGTTCGTCAGAACAAGAATATAGAGGTCACCAGCAGTGCCAATGTATTTAGTCACCAGATGAAGTCTAGAGTGAATGAGTAAGGAGGGTAAAAAAGAGAAAACAATCACTTAATCCCAGGGGTGAAATGAGCAGGGATTCCCACCACCAGAGCCAGAGCCGCCACCATCACTCTCTCGGTTTCGTTCTCGATCACGGTCTCGGCGCGTGTCTCGCCCTCTCCTTGATTCCAGGGCATTGCCTTCGGTAGTTGTACGTTGGTTGACACCGGCTCCGAAATCAGACATTGTGAATAGGAGTGGCTCGTCTTCATCCATGATTCCATTGCCATGGGGATTGGAGCTGGATGCCGGGTTTGTATTAACCCAAGGTGAGCGAGCGGTGCTGAAGCGTCTTGTGCTAGCTCGTCGTGCATGTGTGTGCGAGGTGTGTCCTTGTGACTCTCGATCGTGTACTTGAGTAAAGCGAGGCTGATAACGGGGGGTTGTTCTATCATTTGCACTACCCTCAGGCTGGGGGCTTTCGTTCTCACGCCTGTCGATTGCGGAAGACACTAGAGGCTGATTCTCTAAGTCCGGACTAGGAGCCTGCAGCAACTCGCTGATAGATGGCGGGGATCTGTCCTGAGCGCCTAAACTGATACTCCTAGTTGTAGTAGGAAAAGGCAAGAAGTCAGGAACGTCTTCATCTCCTGTTGCGGTATTGTTTGAATTCGCAGTGCTAGTACGACGATGAGCAGCTGAGCTGGAACGACGGTAGCTAGGGATAAATGCCCCGCTGCGGTGGTGAGGGTGATGAGGAGATACAGGTAGTGGTATATCAATCGCATTAGCTGTTGTAGTCGTTTGCGATTGAGGCCTCGCTTCAGGTTCCGGCTCAGGCTCAGACGCTTCACCTAGTGGAGAATCATAACGGGGCGCACGGCGAGAACGGGCAGTATTGGTAATGATGTGGCCCGGGTCATCAGGGCTAGGGTATTCGATTACACTGTTTGAGCTGAGCCGGGAAGGGACAGCCGGGGTATGGGGTGTATGTGGAGAGATAGCTTTGCCTGGAGAGGAGGATACAGAGCCTGAGACGCCGCTGGGTACAGAGCTCGGTATGGCCGTAGCAACGGGGCTGCTCGTTGAGGCTGGTGGAAGCTGTTTGTTGGATGACGAGGTAATGTTTGATCGATGTAGTAAGAGAGAGGAAGTCATCGAATCCGATAAAGCTGTATTAGCGTCCTTCATCTTCTGGAACCTGGATAATGTTGCTGTGGTAGTTCGCCTGCTCGATGCCGGATCGAAGGTCGAGCCATCGGGGCCGTTAGAAAGTAAATCTTTCCGCTGGTCCAACAACTTGAGGAAATCAGATATGTTATCTTCATCCGTATCGATGACGGGGAAAACACCTGATGCTGAGTCTCGCTGTCCCACTGCCGCAGCTGACGATGAACTTATGCTTGCTTTACCACTAGAGTTATTATCTTCTTCGGTCTTGCTTCCTCCGCCAGTAGAGAGACGACCGCGTCGATGGCTGAAGGAGCTGCTGTACCGCGAGATAGGCGCTTGCTTGGGTGATGCAGACATCGATGAAAAGACGGCTTGGTCGGGTAAAATATGCGCTGACAGAGGGCGGGTGGATGAGGTAGGTATCTTTCTAGGAGACGGAGTGGGCTGGATATTCTGACTTGTATTGACGTTTATACTCAGAGGTTCCCGAGTTGATGGACTACGCGCGGCGCTGGGACCCGGTGAAGCAGACAATGGCGGAGCCTTGAAGGGCTGGTAAGAAACTGACGGCCTGCGTTGCCGTGTGTGTCCATCTTCTCCTGAAAGTGAGGCAAGTCGTGCGTGGCCAAGTTTGGGCGATGGCATGAATGTCGGGGAAGACGGCGAGCCACCGATATCTCGAGCCGCACGGAGGGCAGATATGGGGCTTCCTTTGATGTTTGGATCAGCACGGTGGAAAGTAGACATGCTGCCATACGCTTGGCTGAGGTCTGGATTATGTGATGTCCTATGCCTAGCTGGAAGGGAACCAACATCTACATTGTGGGTTCGATGGTCACCACGGTCATTCTCTGTTGGCAGAGAAGGACGGAACAATTCATCATCTACACCCATAAATCGAGAGCTGAGCATTGTCTCAGAATCATCGATGCGGAATTCGCAGTTTGCACGATAAGTCACTCGGATCGAGAGTGGTCCAGCAGGGGACTCCGTCACGCCAAACGAGTAGTTTTCAGCTGCATCACCGCTGCCATCGTGTAGAGGGATGGTCAGCGTATCTGATGGGCTGCCATGCTGGCACTTGCTTGCGGGTAGAATTCGATGCTGTAACCGCA